AAATCCATATGTTGAAGTCCTAACCCCCAGCATCTCAGAGTGTGACTTTATTTGGATATAAGATCTTTAAAGAGGTGACTAATGAGATCATATGGGTGGGACCTAATCCAATGTGACTGGTGTCCTTCTAAGAAGACGACTATTTATAAGCCAAGGAAAGAAGCCTAAGAAGAAATCAACCCTGCTGATACCCTGATCTCAGACTTCTAGGCTAGAAGTTCAGTTCTCCAGAACTGAGAGAGGGAATACGTTTCTACTGTTTAAGCCGCCCAGCATGTGATATTTGTTAGTGGTGCTAGCTGACCCGTACACGTGGCTCAACCAGCTGTGAAGTTACATCGTCTTCTGAGCTGGCTCAGCCCCACCGCTTCCCGAGGCTTGTCCATGGCAACCCCAAAGGGTCTCATGGGTGCTGGCCTCTGATCAGCGCAAATCCTCTGAAAGCGAGCTGGGGCTGGCCTTAAGGGGATGCCCAAGGAGCAGCCAGATAGCCAAGGGGTGAGCGGTCAGGGCTTTGCAGTCTAGGAGGGAGGGCTGGATGAGCAGGGAACGCACAGGGGCTGGGGCAGGACAAGGAGAATCGAAGTGGCAAGGGCGCCCCCCTCCCCCCGCTCTAATCAGAGTAGCTCTTATTTTATGTGTTATGTCTTGGGCTTCTGCATCAGAGTTTGTTAGGCTGCCTAAAAACAAGTTTTAAAACCACTGAACTTGAATGATCCTTAAGGCCTCTTCGCTTCCAAGAGACTCTACCACTGTTTCTCACAAAGAGAAGAAAGAGAGACAAATTAACACGGGCCTGTTTAGCAGGCCTGAACAACCCCTCCCTTCATTGGGCCTCCTTCTGAGGAGAGAAAGGCATTTGTCTCATATGTGATTATCTGTTTGTTGGTATAATCTCTGAAGGGATAGACTGTATCCTTAAGTTTAATTATAAATGTACCTGGCAAGGTAATGAAATATCAAGTTCACTGGAAACTTGCCACTCTACCTTGCTTTCCTGTTGTCACATGGGCCTGCAGCGCTGAATCTCAGTAGGACTTTGGTGCTCAAGGAATCCACCTTCCTTTTCTGGGGTCTGAAGTAACCCACCTGGGTTCTAGGTGGGTTCAGGCCGAACACAAAGGGCTCTTACAGCATAGCAATGCAGGTGTAAAATGCAAGCCAGTTTAAGACAATCATCGCCAATAATACTTTACCTTCCACTCATTTGTTCCAAAGAACACTGCTCTAAGAAAACAATCTTCCATAAAACAGTCTCCTGAAATAATTAACATCTGAACAGGAAGGGACTATTTTTTTCCCATATTGATGTATTCTGTTGCTAGGAGATGGGTTTGGAACAGAATTCCTAAATTAAACTTCCTTGCAGACTGACTTGTATTGAACCTGGCTCTCTAAGAGAACACACTGCATTTATCATGAGCATCAGTGTACAAAAACCTGTCATTTCTGAAGCTAGGAGACAATTAACCAGGTCAGCAAGCATATAATCCAGGCATCTTACCATCATATTAAAATAAGAGTATGTTTATGAGAGGCAGCTGTGCTGTGGGGGGAAAAGTGCTATATTAGGAGGGAAAAACATCCAGGATTTGTCATTTACTAGCTCTGCAACCTTGGAAGATTACTTAAGAATTCTCAACCTTGATTTTCTCATCTATACATGGGGACAATATTTTTTTCATAATTTTGTTATGAAGTGTAGTTAGGTACTGTATGTAAAATGCCTTTTAAAATATAAAATGCTATATGGATATAAAAATTATACAGGCTGATAATAATTATATTTTACTGTAGAATAAGAAGCATGGCCCCCACATTTAAAAATTCTCCTTTTGTTTGTTGAAATTTATCATGGAATAATATGATTAAAAAGTAGTGCAGGGGCCCCTGGGTGGCTCAGTCAGTTAAGCGTCTACCTGTGGCTCAGGTCATGATCCCGGGGTCCTGGGATTGAGACCCACATTGGGCTCCCTGCTAGGGGGAGCCTGCTTCAGCCTGCTTCTCCCTCTCCCTCTGCCCCCACCCCCTGCCCCCACTTATGTGCTCCCTCTGTCCCGCTCTACACTCTCTCTCTAATAAAGAAAATCTTAAAAAAGAAAAAAAGTAGTGGATGGCTTACACCATACACAAAGATAAACTCAAAATGCGTTATGAACCTACATGTGAGGCCTGAAACCATAAAACTCCTAGAAGAGAACACAGGCAGTAACTTCTTTAACATTGGACATAGCAACTTTTTTTCTAGATATGTCTCCTGAGGCAAGGGAAACAAAAGCAAAAATAAGCTATCGGGACTTCATCAAAATAAGAAGCTTCTGCACAGCAAAGGAAATAATCAATAAAACTAAAAGACAATCTATTGAATAAGAGAAGATATTTGCAAATGACATATCTGATAAAGGGCTAGTATCCAAAACATGTAAAGGACTTATGAACTCAGCATCCAAAAAAACAAATAATCCAATTAAAAAATAGAAGACATGAATAGATATTTCTCCACAGAAGACATCCAGATGGCCAATAGACACATGAAAAGATGCTCAACATCACTCATCATCAGGGAAATGCAAGTCGGAACTACAAGGAGATATCACTTCAGACCTGTCAGAATGGCTAAAATCAAAAACACAAGACAAGAGTTGGAGAGGACAGAGAAAGGGAAACCCTCTTACACTGTTGGTGGGAATGCAAACTGGTGCAGCCACTCTGGAGAACAGTATGGAGGTTGCTCAAAAAGTTAAAAATGGAACTACCCTATAATTTGGTAATTGCACTACTGAGTATTTACCCCAAAGAATACAAAAGCATTAATTCAAAGGGATACATGCACCCCTATGTTTATAGGAGCATTATTTACAATAGCCAAATTATGGCAACAGCCCAAGTGTCCACTGATAGATGAATGGATAAAGAAGAGGTGGTATATATACAGACAGGAATATTACTCAGCCATAAAAAAGGATGAAATCCTGCCATTTGTAACAACATGGATAGAGCTAGAGAGTATAATGCTAAGGGAAATAAGTCAGTCAGAAAAAGACAAATACCACACGATTTCACCCATATGTGGAATTTAAGAAACAGACAAGTAAAGGAAAAAAAAAAAGACAAACCAAGAAACAGACTCTTAACTCTAGAGAACAAATGGATGGTTAGTAGAGGGGAGATGGGGGGGTGAAATAGGTGATGGGGATTAAGAGGACACTTATCATGATGAGCACTGAGTAACATGTTAGACTCAACATAAGAATTGTTGAGTCATTCTATTGTATACCTGAAACTAATATAGCGCTGTATGTTAACTATACTGGAATTTAAAAAAACAGTAGTGGAACTGTTTCTGAGTCTGGTTTCCCTGCTGGATTGTGTGAGCTCTCAGGACAGGGACCAGCACTAACCATGCCAGGCAGTGCTGGCCCATGAGGCATCAGAAATCAGCTCATAGAGGGAAAGGAGAAAAGGAGGGAAGCAGAGAGGAAGGGAAGGAGGAAGGGAGGGAGGATTTTCTTAAGTCATTAATAAAGCCAATTTCAAAAGAATTCCTTAGAATTCCAAAGATGGAAAAAATATATAGTCTCTGAAGGGGTCAAGGCTCACTTGAATATTTATCCTCTGGTATGTTTGTTAAAAAAAAAAAAAAAAAAATCAGGTCACTACCCCCTGGGCACACCTCACTTTCTCCTTCAGAGTATGCATCCATTTCAGGGAAAGAAAATGCAAAATTTATTCAACTTTAAATTTTCATCTTGATATAAGTACCAGGGAAAGCTGGCTCCTGCGTTAGCCAAAGTACTTAAAAGATAAATTTCTATTCCATACAAAAATGCATGGGCTTAAAGAACAGAATTTCTGCTGACATGTATAATAAGCTTCTTTGATGTCCAAGGCTGCTTGGCAGAAACAAGAATGCAAAGAACAAGTAACATGTATCTGCTGTTTAATCAAGTGAGCCACCAACATGGCTTGGTATATGTTGATATTTTGTGATTCTGAATAACAGGCTTCCCATCTGATGTGTACATATTTAAGGCTGAAATAACATGAGAAGTTTACAACATAATTTTAAGTGGAAAAAAAGCAGGATTCAGAATTGAATACAGAATATAATTATATTTATGTTTAAAAAATACTAGAAAGGAGAAACATTAAAATTGCTAATAGCTGGGGGCGCCTGAGTGGCTCAGTCGGTTAAGGGTCTGACTTTTGCTCAGGTCCTGATCCCAGGCTCCCTGCTCAGCAGGAGTCTGCTTCTCACTCTGCAACCCCGCCCCCACCGCCGTGTGCTCTCTTTCTCCACTCTCTCTCTCTGCGCTCTCTCTCAAATAAATAATATCTTTAAAAAAATGCTAATAGCAGAAGTACTTAAATGGGTGGCAAGCAGCAGGCAATCTGTTTTCTTCTTTTGATTTTACAAATTTTCTTTCCTGGGTAGATAATACTTTCATAATGATAAACACATCTGAAAATTTTCAAATTACATAAAACTGTTTTAGTTAACACTGATGGCTAGAAATCTAAACTGTCTGCAGTGTTACAGAACTTGGTACCTATTAGCAAATTTGCCGTAAGACGTCCATCTAAGAATTCCTTTCCTTCTGGTTCCCGGTTACCCACAAATCCCAGCTCCTTGCGTTCGGCATTTCCCTGGAACCCCAAACAGAGCAGTACTATTTACTGACACTGGCAAACTGGGAAGGGGGGGGGACACCTTAAAAACTCCCAACCCCAGCGGTGCCTGGGTGGCTCAGTCGGTTAAGCGGCTGCCTTCGGCTCAGGTCAGGATCCACGGGGTCCTGGGATCGAGTCCCGCATCTGCTCTGCGGAGAGCCTGCTTCTCCCTCTGCCTCCCTCTCTCTCTCTGTCTGTAATAAATAAATAAATAAGATCTGAAAAAAAAAAAATCCCCATTCCAATATTTCCTTTCCTTCCCTAGCTCCTTCCATGCACGCATGTCCTGAGGCTGTGAGGCAGAGCTCCAGGGCAGAGACAGCACTTACCGCGACCCTCTCACGTGTTTGTGTATGAAGTCGGCGTGGAACCGTGGGACCAGCGGATCCTTCTCTCCGTGCACGATTAAGGTGGGGCACTGAATCAGCGGCAGCAAGTGCCCACAGATATTCCCTGCAAGACAAACAGCACCGAGGATCTGCTTCCATGTGACCAGCACGCCGAGGGAGTCAGAGGAGAAGCAGGGGGCTGGGGCCTGTCCGGCCTCCCTCCAGACCTCGGTGCCCCTGTCCCTAAAAGAGGTGGTCTGCATTAGATGGGGTCCGAGGGGTCTCCTAGCTCTCACAATCTGTGGGCCTCCTTTTCTGGTTCTCTGCTTTTTTTTTTCTCCTTCTTGGAAAGTTCTAGTAAACAAGCAGTTTTGCCTGATTATATGCATAATTTATGCGAAACAGGAAAATAAACACACACAAAAACCCCACAGCTCTTTATATTATGGAGAAGAGTCCCCAGTTTGCAAAACACTGGTAGGTGCTTGGCATCTGAAAAGCTTTTTCCTTGAAATAATGTCTTACGTGGTCCCCGGGGCCCCAGCTACCCTCAGAGCTTCTATACCTCCTGTGAAGTTATAACTTACACATAGCAAATGAGCTTCTCTTCATTCCTCCTGCCTCCATGACATTCCTGACTGCCATACTCTGGAGACGATAAGGGCCTCACCTCCATTGTAACAACCTTCCTGAGGCGGATGAGGAACAACCTGGCTCTGGTCCTGTCCTACTGTTTCCCGCCGGGGAAATCTTGGTGGTTCCTCAGTGAGGAGTTTCAGCCTCCTCCCTGGTCAAAGGGGATAGTTCCAGTTCTCTGGGGTGGCCGTGAGGCCAAAAAGAGGTGTCCTATCTACAGTTCTGGGCAGCAGGCAGGTACTCCATAAAGTGAGCTCCTTCCTCCTCTGCCTCCTCCCGGCCTCTGCAGGGGTCACTGGGGCCCTGAGAAAGCTGGGAGCCAGCCCACTGGGGTGCTACCCAGGGACCTGGCCTACCCCTCCTCCTCAGTGGCCGGGGTTGGGGGCACTGCCTGCTAAATGAGAAGGGGACGGGTTGGCCAGAGAAATACTTCTCTAGGTCTCAGAAGCTGCCATCTCCTGTCCCTGGGATGACACACACGTGTTAACTGCACAATCAGAGGACGAAGTGAGCAGTGTCCTGAGCACTGTGGGTCAGACGCTGTTCGCGTGGGTTCATGCCCGTGACACACTGCCTTACCTGCTGTAGCTCACTTGGTCTGACAATCATTGGTAGATACCATACTTTTCCAAAAAGAGTCCTAATAACCTTTTATCAAGCGCTTACTCTGTACTTGGTACTGCACCACAGCTGAACATGCAAAACCCTGTTTAGTCCTCAAAACACCTTAACGGGGTAGTCATCAGCTGCTTCGGCTCGCAGGTGGGGAACAGCAGCTTAGGGAAGCTGAGTAGTCTGCCGATCGCTCTGACAGCAACCAAGTGGCAAGGCCAGACTTCACACCCAGGCCCGTCTGACTCCAAATCTGTGCAGCTAACCCCTATGCTAAACCGAGCATCTACCAACATGCACAGCGTACAATTATGAAAAAAAGGTGTCCTGTGAAATTAATGAGTGTGGAGGGGAGATAAGTAGTTTATTAACAGTCTTGCTATAAGAATACTGCTATAGTTCCTCTATATTTTGACATTTTCCCCCTCCCTTTCTTTTTTTTAAAAACTGTATTTGATTTTTTTAAATTTTAGGTTTACAGCAAAATTGAGTGGAGGGTTCAGGGATTTCCTCTGTACCCCAGCCCCCCACATGCACAGCCTCCCCCACTATCAATATCTCCCACCCAAGTAGGACATTTTTACAACTGATGAACCTACATGGACACATATGTCCTCATCACCCAGAGTCCAGAAATTACATCAGGGTTTAGTCCTGGTTGTTGCACGTTCTGTGGGTTTGGGCAAGTGTATAATGACATGGAGCCACCATTATGGGATTACAGAGTATTTTCACGGCCCTAAAAATCCTGTTTTGGACCTTCTAACAGGTGAGTGTTGGGATCTTGTTATTTGGCTCATCTTTTAATCAGGTTTTCTTCTTATTGTTCAGGTTTAAGAGTCTGTTGCACATCCGGATAACAGTGCTTTATCAGATATGCCTTTTGCAAATATTTTCTCCCAGTCTGTGGCTTGTCTTTCCATACTCTTGACAGGGTCTTTCGCAGAATGGAAGCTCTGGATTTTAACAGATACAGGATGTATGTTTGAGCTGCAGATTTAATTCTGCTTCTGCCTCTGAATCTTCCTACCCCGCTCTCTAGTCAGGAAAGCACAAAAATTTACATTTCAAGAATGTGCCTTCTTTAATGGAGAACTGTCATAGACATCTTTATGGCATTTTTGTTTTAAGAGCTGAGGGAGACACATTTTCAAAGATCTATTTCTTTGGGTGGGTACTGCACTGGAACAGGATATATTTGCTGTTTTGAACTTGAACCAGAAAAGTAATAGTTCCAAATGTCCTTTTCATTGTGAAAGTTTGGATAGGTGACTCACTCTGGAAATGATTACCTAATAGATCAAACTGCTCCTTCAGCTGCAGCCATTTTGTCACGAATGTGCTCCCAGATTTGATCTCAGCTACCCTCTATTCTTTTAGCAGTTAAAACAGAAGAGTGAGAGATTAGCAACGTAAATAGCTATTGAAAAACAGACTTCAATTCAGAATTTCTCTTAAAGATGTCAGTTCTTCCTGTTAGTGGAACTCTTGTTAATTTTTCCGATAAAGACGGAATTAGAGTCACATAACTAAGTTCTGAAGGTGGGAAATAAACTGAACGCTCTTCCTCAGGCTAATTCTGCTGTAGCTGAAGGTCATGACACAAAGGCCCTTCTTTTTTATCCTGGTAAGAGAGGATGTAACAGGGTCACGCATCTAACTGTGAAAAAGAAAAAAATATGGTACGCGCGACAGCTTGTTTTCTGATTACCCACTCTAGAATCAGAAAAAAACAAACACTATTTGAGGCTTCTGGAGAATTATTTTGTCATCGTACACACAAAGGATTAGGAGGAAAAAAGAATAGTCTGCTATTAAAGACTTCACACTGTGAACCCTGATACACAGAGTAGCTGTATACACAGTATCGCTTAAGGCGGATTTATTATACAAGAGCGTGTATGGTATACAATCACTAGCTTCCTCTGTTCAAGCATTAGTGTGAAAGGACAGTGGGTGAGTGCATTCATCACCAGGGAATTCTGGAACACCAGGGGAAGAACGCAAGCAGCCTTTCTAATCAGCAAAGGAACAGCTAAACAGTTCACATAACCTACCATCTGGAAGACGTTTAAATTGTTTTATGCCATCCACCCACTTCTCACAGGTTTTGGCAAAGTAGTCATAGCCATATAAGGTTTCTAGAGGTTTTCTTGTTTTCTCACTCCATTTAGAAACATCTCGGATACCTGAAAAATAGAAGTATTGACAAGAACAGGTTTAGTCTAGGGGCACCCGGGTGGCTCAGTCGGTTAAGCATCTACCTTCGGCTCAGGTCATGATCCTCAAGCCCTGTGTTGGGCTCTCTGCTCGGCAGGAAGCCTGCTTCTCCCTCTCCCCCTGACCCTCCCCCAGCTCGTGCTCTCTCTCTCTCAAATAAATAAATCTTTAAAAAAAATAAAACACATGAACAAATTCAATTACTTAGCCCACTCCTTTCCGTATTTCTTTAAACACACTGATAATTCTAATGCTTCTAAGCATATTACATCTTGCTTAATAACAGCTTTTAACACAGTGCTTCTGCTGCACAATACACCTCAAAGAAAACATGACTAATGACATGAACTCATATCGAACAATAACCCCTCCACGGCACTCCCGACAGTGCCAGGGCCCTGGCAGGCACCCTGTATGTACTCGGTGAATGCAATTACAGAGTGGAGGGAAAACTGCTGCTTACAAGTGCAACTGCCTTCCAAGGCGGGCGGATGCTGTGACAGACAGCGCCGGATCCTTTCCGACCTGCACAGGTAAGCCCAGAGGTGCACGTGGAGGCTGGGAGAGCTGACCTGCTCGGCACAGGAGTGAAAAGACTTCACAGAGAGGTGCAGAGAAGTCTGGAAATTAGGGTTCAGGGATTTCCTCTGTACCCCAGCCCCCCTTCTATGCAACCTTCCAGAGAAGTCTGGAAATTAGGAGGAGATCTGGGAAGAAAAAGGAGAGTTGGAAGAGGGGAAAGGAGAGAGGAGCCAGCAAGAGGTCATAAAGATGGCCAATAAAAAAAAAAATCTCCTACAGATATTTCTACTTTGGGCTCTGTTGCAGACCACACCCTCTGCAAGGTACCCTTGCAGTGGAAAGACTAGTTGTTTTTTTTTTTTTTCTTAAGTAGGCTCCATGCCCAGCGTGGAGCGCAATGCAGGGCTTGAACTCGTGACCCTGAGATCAAGACCTGAGCTGAAATCAAGAGTCAGACGCTCAACCAAGTGAGCCACCCAGGCGTCCCTACGACTAAATTGTACCTAAAACATATTCTTTGTTGCATTGTTGGAGTTGCAGCAATTAATGGAAACTAGGATATGAAGGTGTGTGTGTGAGAAAGAGAACCTAAAAAGAGAGCAAAGAGTGGTAAGACTACTCAAAAGGCAGGGTGGCTTTTGGGGGAAATGTAACTGGTAGTTGGGGGTGGGTGGGTAGAGCTGAACCCAAGATTCCTAGATTAAGTGGAGATGAAAATGGCTCCAAACTGGTATGATCCTGTGCTTCCCCAGAGTAGCCAATGTAAATCCTCTCTGAAAGAAAGCATCATCAATTTGTATGCACGGTCTTGTGTGTGTGTGTTTTCAGATTAAGGGTAAGCAAATATTCGCTCCTAATCACAGGTCACAACACAATCAGAATCTTTATAAAGCTAATGAAAAAGCTAAAACACTGGAAGAGAAAGCTTAAGAAACGATGCAGACCACCACACAGAGAGACAAGAAAATGAACAAGAGACACGGAAGATGGGAAGGCAAGGCCTACAAAGTCCAATCAGTGCCCTGATGGATGAGAGGAGGGGGAGAGGAGAAGAATGGAGGAGAATGGACGAGAAGCAATATGGGAAGGAGGACACGGGCAAGAATGGTTTTCAGAACTGATCAAAGATAAGGGTCCACAGATAAAAACTGAAGGTAACCCAAACTGGATAAATAAAAAGGAATTCGCATCTGGACACACAACAGTAAAATAGCAATACATCAAAGAGAGAGAAGAAACCTGAAAAACAGCCAGAGCTGAGACACATTCACTCCAGAAGGGGGAAAGCTACATGGGCAAAACTTCTCAACAGTGGTCGAGGAAGGCAGAAGACTGTGGAATGGCCGAGTAAATAATCTGCCATTTACATTTCTGCACTTAGCCAAACAAGCTTTCAAGAATGAGCGTGGAATAAAGACAGTATGAGGTAAAAACGGAGCTCACTATTAACAGAGCTGCCCTTAAAGAACTTCTAAAAAAATAACTTGAGGAGAAAGAGAAGGGAGCTTGGGAGGAATATCTGAGATGAAAGAAGGGGAGTAAAGAAACTGATGGATGTGTCCGTAAGTGTGAAAACACAAAACTTGCCAAGCTAATGAGAAAACAGAACACTGGAACATTTTTTTACATTACAATTAGTTCTGTCTAGAAAGGAAGCGAAAGGACAAGCCACAAGCTGTGCAGAACAACTAACCCAATTACTAACCAGCAAGGGGGTAATAATCAGACTGTCAAATAACAAACACCCTCAGTTTTTGTTAACTGCAAATCAGTAACATCGTAACAACACTGGAAGTGTTCTAGTCTCGGGTGTTTGTTCTGTTGATAGACTTCACACAGTATGCCTGTTAAACCTATCGTTTTAAAACTTTTATGTAATCTTTGATACATATAAATCAACAAAAAGACATGAATAGGGACAATACAGGAGAAGAAACCCCAGTGGCGCATAAATCTGTAAAAAGATTCTCAATCTTATTAGAAAGAGGAAGATGCAAATTAAGTCCGCCAGTAAGATACCATTTCACATCCATATGACTGGCTGGGACTAGGAAGTCTGATGATTCCAAGTTTTTGTTTTGGATGTAAATTAAGGAATCTATTACGCTGGTGGTGGAAATGCAAATTTATGTAGTTGGAAAACAGCTGGTCACTGGTAACACAGCGTATTTGCATACCACAATATTCAGCAAATCTCACGTTTGGGCCTATACCCCAGACTGACACCACTGCTCATAGGCCCCAGGAGACATGTACATGAATGTTCGCAGCAACAGTGAAAACAGACCTACAGTCCATTGATAAAAGAGAGGGAAAATAGAATACTTTTGCCCAATGGAATACGATACAGCATTATCATGAATGAATCTTAGAAATTCAATGTTCATTGAAAACAGTGAGTCATAGAAGATGATCTATGGTATGAAGGCACTTTGTATGACTCAAAAACAAATAAAACTAAATTACATATTGTTTAGGAATATAAACAGATGTGACAGAAGTGTTTTCAAAAAGGCATAGGGATGATCGTAGGACTCAGGCTAGAGGTAGAGGTGCACTGGGGAGGAAGCACAAGGAAAGAGTGAAGGTATAGACAGTGATCAATCTTCTGTTCCTTGGTGAACTCGTGGGTGTCCGTAATTTACACTGTCACATGTGTTGCATTATATGTATCAAATATTATACAATTAAATAAAATTCAATTATAAAATAAATTTAAATACAATATTATATTACAAAATAAAATTTAAATATATATTATATACCTTATATAATATATAGTATAAATATATATTATTCATGTTTAATTCACATATTTAAAGATACACAAATATATTTAATATAAGTGTTTAATTTACATATATATTATAACGTATTTTATTATTATATTGTTAATAGTATTATTAATATATAACATAAATGTAACATTTTATAAAATTTTATATACTTTTATAAAATTTTAAATAATTTTTAAAAAATTATAAAATTTTGTAAGATTTTTAATAAAATTATATATATTTTTATAAAATAAAAAAATTCCCCTGTGACAGGAAGGCCAAGATCTTTTAATCCAAGTTGGCTAATGTTCAATGTGAAGACATTTTTCTTGCTAACATGTGAATTCCTCTTTGGGATAGCGAGAGATTTCTCAAAGTGAATTAACTCAGTCAAAGCAAGCATTTAGAGTGAGAGGTATCTATTAGTATGTAAACTCTGGGGCATGGCTTTAGACTCTCTGGGAAATATTATCTAAATCTCAAGGGGCAGAAAAATCCAGTGGTAGCTGGGGCAAGCCAGATGTTCACACCAAGCTCTGTGGTTAAGCACACAGCCTCAGAAGTCATACTGGCTGGGTCGCACCTACTAGCTCTGTGACCCTGAGCAAGTTCCTTAACCTCTCTGTGCTAGTTTCCTCATCTGAAAAATGAGAATTATAATACCACTCTGAGATAAAGAGTAAATAAGTTAGACATGAAATGTGCTAACAAGAGTACCCAGCATATAACAAACACTGAAAAATATTCTATGTATTTATATACTTACTTCTGTTAACTTTTTTCAAGAGGAAGCCAGTTTTACCCCAAAGCATAATTTCCACCAAAAAATAAGTAGCAATTATGTTTCACAGTTAAGTTCCTAAATTAACTATTTGAATCAAATTATTTGCTGATGCGAAATAGATATAATTTGTATCCCCCCCCAAACGGATACATTTATTTTTTGAGCATATAATTTGTGCTAAGTACCAGAAGAAAACTCATTGGCTCACCATTAATTAGTGAATTAATCCAGTAAACATTATTTGAAGGCTGCTGAGCGTTAGTCACAGCACGTACAAACTTGAATGAGATTTGGTCTTTGCCCTTAAGGGCCTTATTGTTTAGAGTTGTAAATGACCTCTGTAGAAGAGTGGGATAGATGTCGTGGGAGAGGCTGGGGAGGACAGAGGAGGGTCAGTGAGCTTAGAGGGGCAATGGCAGGAAGTGGCAGTGGTGGTGGGCTTCCTGGAAGAGGCACTGCTGGGTCTAAGTCTGCAAGAACAGAAGCCAGCAAGCAACTACGGGAGCCATTCCATCTATTGCTAGAACTTCAGGAGTTTCCAGGTGGCCGAAGAAAGAATGGGCATGTGCGGGTAGAGGAAACAAAGTGGCTGCAGATGGACCTAGAAAGACGGGGTGTGTGTGGGGGGTCCCAGCTCACTCAAACTTTGTGAGCAAAGCAGAGGAGTCTGAACTCTACTTATCTGGAAAGCTATGCGAGACTTTGGAGGGTTTTCAAGTAAGATATAATGAGATTTACATCTTAGCAAACTACCATCCAAGCAGTTTGGAAAGTAGACTGAAAGGAGGTAAAGACAGGGCAGGTTGGAAAATGCTGGTCGATCTAAGTGAAGACAGATGGGGAGGCCTGGACCCGGGGTCTGGCAGGAGGAACGGAAAAGGTGAGATGGATCCAGACAGAGCCCAGCAGAACGCAGGAAGAATGCGGAGGGCTGGGGCGCCTGGGTGGCTCAGTTGGTTAAGCGACTGCCTTCGGCTCAGGTTATGATCCTGGAGTCCCGGGATCGAGTCCCACATCGGGCTCCCTGCTCAGTGGGGGGTCTGCTTCTCCCTTTGACCCTCTTCCCTCTCGTGCTCTCTGTCTCTCATTCTCTCTCAAATAAATAAAAAAAATCTTAAAAAAAAAAAAAAGAATGTGGAGGGCTGGATCACTATCCTGCAGACGTGAAACATTGGGCTTTACTGGCCGACCTTCCCAGCTGTGCCATCACAGGTTTCTTCGCTTGTTTGAGCCCCGAGTTGAGTCATAAACAGCTATGTATGTTAATATTAGCTCATGGCAGGCATTCAATAAATCATAATTAAAATATTCTTTGTGGAAAAAAGAGTATATTCCATCGAGTGTCACTTAGCAACGTGAGAAATATGGCAGGAAGACCAGGTGTGGAGAAAAGATTCTGAGCTCGACTTTAGACACGCTGAATGTAAGGTGCCTGTGGGGCAACCAGGTAAGAAAAATGGACATGAAGTTGAATATCTGGAATTCGGGAGTTTGAGGACGCCAAGCGACGAGGGAAGCTCCTTGGGTGTAAGAATGAGAAGAGGAGCAGAGAGCTAAGGATGGTGCCCGGCAGAGCAGAGCAGGGAAGGTGTCAAAGACAGAGACTAAGCAGAGATAAGGGGAAAGCTCTGGACGTGGTGGCAAGAACTCCACGGCAGAGAAAGCTTCGAGAAGAGGGGTGTGTATTTTCAAATGCTGCAGCATGACCATGGAGCCGAAGGGCGATAAAGCATCTGCGGGGCTTGGCAGCACGGAGGCCCTGGTTCCACGAGGCCGGTGGGTCGCCCAAGTCGCGAGAGGGGGCCGTGACGGAGTGGGCCTGGGAAGGGCAGCCGAAAATGCGAAAGAGGAGTGTGAGGTGAGGAGGGAGCTTCTCGGGGTTTGTGTGCGTCGCAAAGAAGGGAAGTCAGAGTCACTGAACGTGGGGAGTTCACACAGTCGTGACTGAGGGGAAGGTGTGACAGGGTGACAGCGCCCAGGACAATCGGGCGGGTGAAAGGGTGTGCGGAGCGCTCCAGCGCCAGAGGCACAAGCATCCGCCAGGACATGGGCTCCGGAACAGTGGCTGAAGAAGACGCATGTGGTGAGGAGACCCGGCTGGAGGGCAGGCCGCGCAGGCGAGCTCGCGAGCAGGTGCCGAGGCAGAGAGGCGCAAAGGAGAAAGCCTGTTCCAGGAGAAGCAGCTGTTCAGCGTGGGAGGTCGGGGGGGGGGGGGTAAGGCGCAGGGAGGCCGGGGTAGGGGGGGAGGCGCAGGGGGTAGGGTGCAGGGAGGCTGGGAGGGGGAGAAGGCGCAGGGAGGGTGGGGGGGAGGGGAAGGCGCAGGGAGGTGGGGTGTGGGTTAAGGCGCATGGAGGCCGAGGAGGGGGAGGCGCACGGAGGCTGAGGGTGGGGTAAGGCGCACGGAGGCGGGGGGGGGGGGGGGGGGAAGAAGGCGCATGGAGGCGTGGGGGTTGGCTCACGGAGGCCGAGGGGGAAGGCACAGCTGGCTTCAGGGCAGGCCGGGCCCAGGTGCTTGGAGGTCACTGAAGTCACTGAAGGATTGTAAGTCACAGAATCCGGTGACCAGGTTTTTGCCTTAGTGAGGAAACTCTTTCGTGCAAGACCAAGTGCCCTCAGAGGCCAAGGGTCCGAAGCAGGAAAAATGGTGGGCGGGAAGAGAGAAGGGGTTATCTTTAGAGGTCGGCCTTGGAGGCCTCCCAGGTGGCCCGGGCCCCACTCACTGAGACAGAGATTACGGGCTGGGCTGTGGGAAGAGTTACGAGGTAATGAGTTCAATGCAGACATACTAGTTTTGACAGACTTACAGGCTATCCAGAGGAAGGTGCTCAGCTGGTAGATAGAAATCTGGCTCTGGGGCTCAGGAAGAGCCTGGCTGAATAGTAGTTTAGAGAACCTCACCCCCTAGTCATAGCAGAAGCTGTGAGACGTCTGCTCAAGTGAGTACCCAGTATCTCTTGGGCGTGGGTGCTGGCTAAGCTGGCGTGAGCCCCGCCCCACCACCACCATGGATCATAGCTGAACTCCAGACGGAACAAGGAGCAACTACCTGCCAAGGTATAAGAGCAGGAGGCTGAACAGTCAAACCTTGAATAATGACACAGAAAGGGGATGAGTTTCTTATTTCCCTTGTCTTCCTTGGAGTCCCAACTTTGAAACACGGAGTGGGGGGTGGATCACACGTGGTTGGGGGATGCGGAGAGTGGAAACACATGTGGTTGGGGGATGCGGAAAGTGGAAACTTCAGGAGAGGACCCCTAGAGTTAGCCAGAGGACCTGGACCAGGCTGCCCTGCTTGAGGAAGACTCTCTCTCTCTCTCTTTCTCCCTATCGTAGTCCATGTTGTGAAGGTGCACAGCCATGGGCCTGCACTACTAGTCCAGCAGCAGACAGTCCCTAAAACCCCAAGAGAAGGCTAGCTTTCTGACCGAAGGTACCAGAAAAAGGGGCCCCTAGTGTCTGAAGATTGTGGGCGAAATCCCTGTTAATTCTTCCATCTCTTTTCTCTGGCTGCTTTGCCCTAAAGATGGCTCCAGTTGCACGAAGCACAACAGCGGGGGGGTTGCTGAAGCCTGTCTTTCTGAGAGAAAGCTGTTTCTGGTCATAGGAGCTTTGAAGGGGGTCCCTAATTCTGCATATGAACTAATGAAATGATTCAAGTCCTGGGATCACCCCTGAGCTCTCCATGCATGGGGAAGATCCAAAAAAGCACACAGCATAAGCGTCAAGAACTGAACTACCATATAAACCACCACCTACATCCCAGCATAGCCTGAGTGGGGTTTGTGTGGGGCAGACATGAGGAAGCATAGCACAGGCTTCGAGAATGGACCCGATGCTGGAACTACAGCCCACAGAAGGCTAAACAGAATTTACAGTATGAACCTAACCAGGCCGATAGCATGCCAAGAAAAAAAAAATCAACAATTAGAGTTTTAACAGGATACCGAGTCTCACAACATAGCACAATAAAAAAATCCCAAATTAACCAACATATAAAACCAACAAATAAATAAATGAAAAAACTCTACAATCCCCAAACAGGCAGATCTGACCAATTCTCAAGGGAAAAGACAACCAGCAAATGCTGACCCTAAGATGACCCAGACATTGGAATTATCAGACAGAGAGGGCAGTCATTGTCACAGGCATTTCCATTCCATTTACAGTATTTTCTTTCCTGTGAACCTGGTACGGATACAATAAGGACAAGCAGGAGTACCGATTAGGATGGGTGACTGCCTCAGACTCATCATTTAAGAGGTTCATTGTCCTTTCCCAAACAGTGCAAAGAACTAAGATTCTACAACAGAACACTGCCATTTAGTGGCTTACTTAAATCAGGTGAATTGCAGAACTAACTGAATAAAACTAGACTTGTCATATTCTAGTGCCTGGGTCTGCAAATGTTTTCTGTCAAGAGCCAGAGAGTATTTTTGGCTTTGCAAGCCAAGAGGCAAATCAAAGGTATTAGGTAGGTAGATTTATGGTGAGAGACTTCTGACCCACTTGACCCCAACTGCCTGGACCAGGCCATCTGGGATCCAGGAGAGACATACTTGAGATCAAAAGCCACCAGACTGAAGAAGAGGGTCCTGGTGGGTCAGGCCGGCAGGTGGTGGTGGGGGGGTACCCCAGGGCAGTTTTGCTTTTTGCCACACCCCCAGATCCCGATGTGTCCTCCTCTCCTCCCGAGAGCCAAGCAGTTTCAATTTGGTCAGCTTGCTGGAGGCTAAGCAAGTCCTCAGTTGCTGCCTGCAATCCCATAGCTGGGCGCCTGGGAAGAGCCAGCAGTCACCAGTTTGTAAGCTGCTACCAGCACATGCCCTGGGCAGCAACTCTGGGCACAGAGGAGGAAATGGGGACGGAGGGGGCGCCCCGCTTGATCTCTAGGCCTGCCGCTGCTGGCCTTCTCCATCTGTGCCTGGCCTTACAAAAACAGATGGGCTGGATTTGGCCCACAGGTTCTAAGTTTGCTGGTCCCCGTTCTTCTGCCTCTAAAACCTTCAAAGATAAGCTTCAAGGACAACCTTATGAAATGTGAACAGCACAGAATTTCTTTATCAAAATATAAGGTTTCAATACAATATTCCTTTTTACGCTCCCATAATTTTGAATACACTATTCCTTTGAATATTCAAACAATATTCCTTTTTACGCTCCCATAATTTAAAAAGAGGTTATGAAAAACACTTTCCATCAAGCCCTCCCTCCTTGAAGTTCACTACCAGTAGTCGGAAATGTGAACGCGGATTTTCTAGGACCTTTTCCTGAGTCACGAAGGTGTCGCTCCTGCAAACAGGAAGCGTTAAAACACAGGCTGGTTAAACTGTAGGACTTCTCTGAGAACTCATGGCTTTTCCTACCTCAGAGCTGAGAACTGGATGCAGACAAGACAGGATTTGTCAATATGGATTGAAGCAAGTCCTGAGAAGGGGAGAGCAAAGGTACCACTTGTCATGACATCTCCGATTCGTGAGACCTACCCTGATAAATCTTCTCATCTTCATCAGTCACGTAGGCATTGGCTCCCCAGATCACCATCTTGTTGATGAACGATGGATATTTTGCAGCTGCAATAAGAGATGTAATGCCGCCATCACTCCAGCCCAGCAGGGACACCTTCTTAAACTTCAGCGTCTGCGAGGAATACAGTGAAATGCACATAGCACAGCTGATTGCTCCTGCTAAAAGAATCCCCTGACAGTTGTCAAAATCAATACAGCTGTGAGGTTTGGAGCAGTTGTTGGTAATTAAAGAAAAATCCTAGAATCCACCATTTGATGACACAAATGTTTTTTTCTCCATTAGTTTTGGTGTAAATCTAAGTGTCGTAAAATCCTAAGTACCTCTGAAACTAATAATGCAGTATATGTTCATTAAATTGAATTTAAAAAAACCCCTAAGTACATAGTATTGTTTTGAATTAATGAGGGAACTACATCTTCTGGTTGGACAGACTCTGGAAACAGTGGCGATCAGCTGTCCTTGGAAATGACAAGTAACATGTGCATGCACACCCACGCCTGAGCGAAGGCTTTGAGAATAGTAATGCAGATTAGAGAGGGAAACTTGATATTTACTGGATGGAATGAAGTCACCACATCTGATAAAACCACTGACTACAACTGTGGGAAGAACGGGCTGGAGGAGAATGGTGTCACGGGGAGGTTATGTTAGTCCTTAAATCAACCAGGCTCTGAAAACATGTTAGGGAAACTGAACAAAGATGACATCGGAGAGATGCTGCCTAGAAGTAAAAACAGAATGACCTGGAATTTGAAAGATTTAACAAATATCAGTCCAAGATACTGATGGGACTATACATGGCTGTAAGTAGCATGGATAATAATTTGGCACTATCTTGTAAAAGGAACATTTGCATCTTCTATAACCCAGCAACATCCCCTAATATGTATGGAACTCCTGCACCCGTGCATCCGGAGACAGGTCCAGGGGTGTCCACACCAACACTGTTTATAAAAGAACTAAAATGTCCATGGACAAAACAATGTTCACTGCACTGCTATTTCTAATAACAAAAAAAGGCAACGTAAAAATTTGATTATTTATCTACCATTAGAGAGAGGTGAAATAAAACAGTACATCCCTACAATGGAATACTGTGTGACTATTTTAAGACTTAAATAAACTTATTATTTATTAACATGGAAGTATCTCCTTGACAAATTGTTCAAAGAACAGTAGTTTGGAAAAACATTATGTATAAGTATGATGCCATCAATACAAAACTGTGTATTTATATATGAAATAAGATTGACTGGAGGGGAACCCTCTTGCACTGTTGGTGGGAATGCAAGCTGGTGCAGCCACTCTGGAAAACAGTATGGAGGTTCCTCAAAAAGTTAAAAATAGAACTACCCTACCATCCAGCAATTGCACTACTAGGTATTTATCTAAAGGATACAAACATAGTGATTCAAAGGGGCACATGCACCCCAATGTTTATAGCAGCAATGTCCACAATTGCCAAAATATGAAAAGAACCCAGATGTCTATCAATGGATGAATGGATAAAGAAGATGTGGCCTAAATATACAATGAAAGATCACTCAGCCATCAAAAATAATGAAATCTTGCCATTTGCAATGACATGGATGAAACTAGAGGGTATTATGCGAAGTGAAATAAGTCAGAGAAAGACAAATACCATATGATCTCACTCATATGTGGAAGTTAAGAAACAAAACAGATCAACATAGGGGAAGGGAAGGAAAAATAAAATAAGATGAAAGCAGAGAGGGAAGCAAACCATAAGAGATGTTAACTCTAGGAAACAAACTGAGGGTTGTTGGAGGGGAGGTGGGTGGGGGGATAAGGTAACTGGGTGATGGGCATTAAGGAGGGCATTTGATGTAATGGGCACTGGGTGTTATATGCAACTGATGAATCACTAAATTCTACCCCTGAAACTAATAATACACTATATGCTAACTAAATTGGAAAAAAAAAAAAAAAAAAAGATGGGCTAGGAAGGCAGAGTCTCAAAGTCATAGCAGCAGTCTCTAAATAGTTGGATTGTGAGATATTTCTACTTCCAAATTCATACCTATTTGAACTCCCTGAATTGTCTGTAGGAATTACACGGTATTACCCTTAAAGAAATTAAAAAAAACACAAAAACAAAATAGACGAAGACAGGCCCAGCCATCCTCCCTTCTCTGGGCTCTTCCCTAAGAGACCCACCTTCATCAAATCAACAGCATCTTTTGCATCCCTTTCAAAAAAGTCCACTGGAAAATCTCGATCTGGGGGTCTGGAGTGTCCATACCCTCGAGGATCCCACGCAACCACTGTGAAGAGCTTCTTATTTAGGTTCTTAATCTGGGGTCCAAAATCAGTCTCTCCACTTCCTAAAAAAAGCCACTCAGTTACCCTCAGGTGAATGATTTCATTATTTCAAGCACATTACAGTAAAAGCAGAAACAACTACAATTTTAAAACAAACTAACTAGTTTCTACTCAAAGTTAGACAGCAGGATGCAGTCAGCAAAGTAGCCTTGTGATGATAAATAAAATCCATTTACCGGGAGGCTGACTTCCTTTCCTGGCGTTCAAACCTGCCTTTTGTCTCCTCCTAGTGGCTACTTTGAGGATTCATTTGGTCCTGTATTACTACTTTTGATACTTTCCCAGTTAATCTTCCTTAAAAAAATTTTTCTTTTAATTTAAAAAAAGGAATTCATGAAACTGCATAGAAATTGACTTACTGATATGATATGTTTCTGGGTGATTTTTTTCTTTCTTTCTAAAAAGTGACTGTTACAAATGAGAGATATCTCAATATTATCTGTCAACAAATTTAAGAGATTTGGTCCAAGTTATTCAAAGTAGAATTCTAAATTCCCAGGTGTTTTTTGTTTTTTTGGTTTTTTTTGTCTTTAAGGTTTTACTTATTTATTTGACAGAGAGAGACACAGCGAGAGAGGGAACACAAGCAGGGAGAGCGGGAGAGGGAGAAGAAGGCTTCCTGCTGAGCAGGGAGCCTGATGCGGGGCTCGATGTGGGGCTCGATGTGGGGCTCGGTCCCAGGACCCTGGGATCATGACCTGAGCTGAAGGCAGATGCTTAACAACTGAGCCACCCAGGTGCCCCAAATTCCCAGGTGTTTTCTACTAGGCTAATGTGAACAGCCCTGGAGATTTATTTTCTGGTTATAAGTGAACACCAGAAAACTCAACTAAAACTCTAAAATGAGGGGGAGGGCAGGGTGTGGAGGGAAGAAATCAGATTAGCTTGTTTCAAACAGCAGCATGGTAACAAGCAGAACCACATTCTTGAGCCTGTAGTGGAACTGACTGGTAGTTCCCAGCCTGCCCACGAGGTCACGGCCACTGTGCGCAGACACCTACTTCGTGTGGCCCGGAAGGCCAGACTCTCAAGGAGCCCAGTCCAGGAGCAAGTCCGCATTTAGTTTTTAAAGTCCACTTAGTTTCTAAGGGCTTGTAGCTCAGGCCACCTAAACATCTTGCTTGATAAACTAGCTATTATTACAAAATGTTTTTTAAGATGGTACAGGATCATTTAACATTATCAAGGACCACCATTCTTCCTGGGAAGATCTACCTTTCTCACCATCAGGTAAATCATTCAGAAAACCTAAGGCAAAAATATAAATGGAGGGGTGCCCAGGTGGTTCAGTTAGTTTAGCATCCAACTCTGGATCTCAGCTCAGGTCTTTTTTTTTTTTTTTTAAGACTTTATTTATTTATTTGAGAGAGAGAATGAGAGCATGAGATGGGGATGGGTCACAGGAAGAAGCAGACTCCCTGCCGAGCAGGGAGCCCGATGCAGGGCTTGATCCCAGGACTCCAGGATCATGACCTGAGCCAAAGGCAGCTGCTTAACCGACTGAGCCGCTCAGGCATCCCTCAGCTCAGGTCTTGACCTCAGGGTTGTGAGATCGAGTCCCATGCTGGGTTACACGCTGGGCATGGAGCCTACTTAAAAAAACTTATATATGTGTGTATATAATGTGTAATGTATATATTGTGTATATATGTTTTTTGCACATATATATGTTTTTTACACACACACACATATGTGTATATAAGTTTGGAAAGGCATTTTAGCATTTTACTTTTAGAAGAAAAAAAATCATAAGGAAATAGTATATATTGGTATTATTTAACTACTAAAATCCTTAAAACCAAATTTGAGTGTCCTGGATCACTGGACATTATCGCCCTGAGCTGTCTACATGTAAATTACTTATCTGAAAGATAAAATTGGGATCCAGTCGGCTTTACTATGCTCCATTCATGCCAATCTAATTTTGACTTCCAAAAAGGCTTTAAATTAAGTCTTGTTCTTAGCTCGTATTTTAATTGAGCATATAATCAACTGCAACAGGGTGATCAATCCATCTTCCAGCACTGGAAATCTTGCATCCTGGAACCCCTCAATTCCAGGCACACTGGGATGGTTGGTCAGTAGCTCGTCTCCTGCCTTTATCCATCCTTCTGCCCACACCCCTTTCCTTGAACCCTGTCATCCTCCCAAATTGTAGGTAACTACACAGTATAACTCTATGAGAAAAAACAAACAAACAAACTGGGTATTTAAAGGAATAAAGAATACATATAGTAGAAAGTTATCCTTCTTTTCTGAATCACTTAAATTTGTAGCAAATATTAAAGCATTTAGCAAAGCACTAAAATTAATAATCAATATTTGGCATCTAATAATGTGAATGCATCATAGACTACACAGCATGCAAATTCCATTAAAAACTTCCAGACCCAACATTCCAGGAAGCAGCAGGACTGCATGCTCTCCCTCTCCAGCCTGCTGATAATGCAAATGGACACCATTCACAGCCACTTTGGCAGAGGTTACGGAGGTGCTGAAAGAGAAAAACCCCACCCCCAAAGAATGATTACTAAGCAGTACAAACGTAATATGACCAAACTGCCCTTTTATATACCCGAGTCAACTCCAGTACCCTTCTCAGGCTTCTTGGATTCCTTTGAGTTGTGCTTAAGTTTTCCAAACCTAAAAGGGGACCACTTACTAGACTGCAGATCTGAACTGTGCCTTCGTGTTTGAATGTCCTACAGCGCCAGCCCAGGGCTTACCCTACAGAAGTACTGAGAGGTTAATGAAATCAATGGCCATACACCCCCGAGGGCACATACCTGGTGAGCTGGAAGCCAGTGGTGCCAAGGTGCAGGCTGACACAAGAGCTTCACACAATGACATGCGAGGGTGAGCAACCAGGACACAGAGCCGGGAGCCACTTGTCAGGACCTTAGCAGATCTAGAGGGGCGACCTGGGCCTTCAGCTGCACTGGCGGTGTCCCTAAGGGTGAGGCTGGTCTCAGGAGTCCTCAGAAAAGGCCTTGGTGCCTAGGCAGTCCTTTAGGCACATGGCTTCTCATGTTCTCTGGCCAGCCGCAGGAGGGCTCTTGGCAGGAACGCCTGTCTGCACTGCTATGGCCAGCCTGGTTTTTAATACGTTGAAGTATTTGTGTTGTTAAACATGCAGGTCCATTAGCTTCAAGAGCCCTCCCTGTGCCACTGACCTTCCTTGGCCCAACACCTCCCATGACACAGCACCTAACTGGACATGTTGGCACAGCAGAGTGCCGCGGGCAGGACTTCTGCCCTATCTGTTCTGCCTGATGCTCGCGCCAACCATATCAAGGGTCCTGCTCGGATGAAACTCTCCTCTGTGGCTCTTCCAGAAGCTCCAGAATGACTGTGTGGGGATCCACAGCGATAAGCACATACAAGCCTCCTGCATCAGGCTCTAACAGCCTCCCCACTAATTTCCCAGGTGGCTGGGTGACCTGCGGAAGGGACATTTTGGCACACCAGGACAGATGCTGGACGGAGGTGCTCCTCTGCTCCCGGCAGAATGTTAAGGAATTTAAATTAACCACTGCCCCCCTTTTTCTTTACGTACTCTCTACCCCTATTACCTCTCTGCAATTAGTCAAAATGGCTTATGGAAATGAAGCGTTTTTTAAAAAATGAGGTCCTTGGCACCTGGGTGGCTCAGTTGGTTAAGTGTCTCCCGGAGTCCTGGGATCGAGCCCCATATAGGGCTCCCTGCTCAGTGGGGAGCCTGTTTCTCCCTCTCCGTCTACCCCCCACCCCCCACTCATGCTCTCTCAAATAAATAAAAATCTTTTTTTAAAAAATGAGGTCCTCTTCCCTCTTTGGTTTCCTCTTGTCACCAATTTCAAATGAGAATGCAGAAACGAATGTGTTGAATGCAGGTACATTAAGTCTTAACACAATTTCTGCAAAAATGACAGAATTGGGTGGTAATAAAGCCTGATCTAACTATAAGCTCCTTATCTATAGAAAGTCACGAGGAGCAAAAATAAAACCACTGAGCAAGAGTGGTATCATACGGACACTGCCAAGTCCTATTCTTTGGAGTCATTCATTTTGATTGTTAAGGTGACTCTAGGATCCAGATAAAGGCAAATAATACTCTGGTAATAAAGATTCATTTCTGCAAACATTTATTGACATATTTATTTTTGCCCACAATCTAGCAGGAGAGATGATAAAGACATAAGAGATTGGAAGGTTATGACTGAGGCCAGGAGCACAAGGAACACGGCTGGAACTTGTTAGTAGGATTTCCCATATTCACCACACGGGAATGAGGCAGCTCCTAACTAGAGATGACCAGCATTCACATGGCTCATGTTAATGATGATGTGTACCTTTATTATACCTCATGCCCTGAAGATTTTTGAGGGGCTCCCTTCCTTGAAGCATTCAAGGACATGCTTGTAAGAATCATTTTGTGCAGTGAGGATGTCACATACAAAGAGAGGAACCCCACTCCCCACAGCATCCTTCTCAATGTCCAAGACAGTGGGTTTTCGTGGCTGGGTGTTGCTGACTCTCGCTGTCTGCAACTCTTCAGGGGCCCCAGGCGTCCTTTCCTTCAGCTTTCATGATCATTCCCAAGTCTCTTCTGCAAAAAACCTCTACTTCCCTTTGTGCTTTGCTGTATTTGTGTTTTGGTTCCCCATTCCAAACTTTTTTCCCCATTAACCCTATCCCATCTTTTGGTTGCCCAAGATGAAGGTAAAAACAAAACCATGTAGTCTAGAATTTAGCATAATGGGAGCTCAATGTCAGGGCAGGGTTACTAAGGCAGAAGACTTTGAAGATGGTTTTAGAGAGAGACAGAGACCGTCCTGCGTTGAGTAGAGGTATCTGGAGAAGAGTAAAAAAAGTAGCATTTGAATTGAACTTCCAAGAGACGTAAAATTTAAAAAAAAAAAACAAAAAACAATGTGGTGGGGAGGGTGCTTCTAGAAGAAATAGCATGATCAAAGGCCTGGGAGCAAGGGAGGTCCTCGGCACCTAGTGATTCAGTCGGTTAAGTGTCTGCCTTCAGTTCAGGTCATGATCCCAGGGTCCTGGGATCCAGCCCCGTATAGGGTTCCCTGCTCAGTGGGAGGGACAAGGCAGTGTTCAGCCTGGCAGGAGTGTGGGGGCAAAAAGGGAGCAAGGTTTGGGCTGAATGCTGAGGGGGTCTGCAGCTAGGGTAAAGGGAAAGAAGATGACCCCGGTGCCTTGTCATCAACATCCTATGTGTCCCCACACCAGAGGTTCCTGCCACTATCACATCAGCCCACCCCTTGGGGTTAATGGAGGCTGCCAAAAATCCCTTATCAATCTTCAGGTTGGGGAAACAGGACAGAGAACTGTTTTTGAACAAAAGTAAATCAAAGCAAATCAATTTCAAATGTAAGAAAAAAATTTTATTAAAAAAAGTTACTGAATGAAAAAAAGTTACTGAAACATTTACTGAATGATTCATTTATCATCAATAGAAGACCACTGAAATGAGTAAAGCATTCTTTTCTCCAGCTTAGCAAGGGACTCTTAAGACAGTAGTTCAAGCCTCATTATGTGTCTGTTGAAAGAAAATTGGGCTGTGGAGAGACCAGGCCTTCAGTGGCCCTGAAATGTGCATATTACTTGAGCCACAATCAAGATACCAAATTTCCCAAACTCTCACACAGGAAAGAGGATAGAAAACTTCAGAAAATTTAAAGACCAAAAATGAATCTTTCCTTTGGGGTGTCCATCCGTCTTTAGCACCACTTTCTCCCTGCTAATAATCACTTCACTTCTCTAACCCACGTGTTCTTAAGCAGGTATGCTTGTTAGAATCACCTGTGGAGAGTTAAAAATATACCTGCCTAGGACAACCCCGGAAGACTATCACTCAATGATTGGGGTAGAGCCCTGGCATGTGCTTTCTTTTCTCTCCCTTCCTTCCTTTCTCTTCCTTCCTCCCTCCCTCCCTTCCTTCCCTTTCTTCCTTTCCTTTCCTTTCATTTCCTTTTAAATATGGAACGCCTCACGAACTTGCAGGTCATCGCTGCACAGGGGCCGTGCTAATCTCTGTGTCATTCCAATTTTAGTGTATGTGCTGCCGAAGTGAACATGCCCCTTTTTATGAGAGCATTTCCAGCTTCCCACTGTCTTAGTGGGAAGCTCAAATTTAGATTTAAATCATCTGGCATGCTTAAATCTCCAGATGCCCAGGGTGCAAAATCTCTGGGGTGGGACACAGGCATCTGTATTTTTTAAATTCCCTGAGAGATTCCAATATACAACCAAAGTTGAGAATGACTGTACTGAGTTAATTTCTTGTAGAAGAAAAAGAAAATCCTAACTCCCTATTAAAAACAGCCTGTAGGGGGCGCCTGGGTGGCTCAGTCGTTAAGTGCCTGCCTTCGGCTCGGGTCATGATCCCAGAGTCCTGGGATCGAGCCCCACATCGGGCTCCCTGCTCAGCGGGAAGCCTGCTTCTCCCTCTCCCGCTCCCCCTGCTTGTGTTCCCTCTCTCGCTGTGTCTCTATCAAATAAATAAATAAAATCTTTAAAAAATAAAAATAAATAAAAACAGCCTGTAGGAAGGCCTGCTCACCTAAAATTGCCTTACTTCATATTTGTCCCTTTCTTTTTCGGGGAAGCTGAATAAGCAATTTTGTGAAAGGGGAAGGAGGTCACAAGCAATACAATGATAATAACTTCCTGATTGAGGGGGCTGAGCTGCTCCTTTCCAAGAAGGAAAGTTTCCTTCAAGAATCTAACAACTTGGGGAAAACAAACTAACATTTAGTTTCATTATTAAGCTAAATAATGAACTCTACTGAGAGCTTACTTACCTCATTTGTTTTGCTATGTGATGTACATACACTTACCCTAATTTTACCATTGAGAAACCTGAGGATTAGAGTTTCTAGACAACTTGCCCCAGTCACATTACTGGTAATGTCTGACATCAGCGCCTTTGGCATTTTGCCCTTTGCTTAGAAATAAAAATGGAGCCAATTAACACAATACATCCTCACTTTGAAAGTCCTACATATTCTCCGTATATCTGATGTTCAGCTATTTTTTTTTTTTTTTTGTATATTTTTTCCAAAGTAACCATTAGCTACAATAAAGTAGGAGCTACCCATAGGGCTTGGAATTAAATGAATTTTGATGACTTACTTTGCATCTTTTACGCACTGCATTACTAATCTGTATCAGTACTAATTGTAGCTACGAATTAGTGAATTCTTATTATATTCCAGGCCCTTTACATATATTGTCTCTAATCCTCAGAACAATTCTGCAAGGCACTAGGCTCGGAGAGGTTAAGTAACTTGCTCACATTTGTGCAGCTAGGAAGTGGCAATGCAGCCATGTAAACACTAGAATCCATGTTCTTTCTGTTAGGTCAAGGCTGAACAAAGTCTCCCAATGAGGCTCTGGCCCCAGGGCCCCACCCACCCTGACTGCCAGACAGAAAGAAGGTGGTGGCAGGTGCCGGGGGAAAGGAGGGTCTCTGATTCTCAGGCAGAACAACCCAAGGTGAACTCAGAAGACATTTTTCTTCTGGCAGGTTGTTAGATTTTTATTACTATTATTTTTTTTACCTGATCCTGGAACAAAGCAGTTTACAGATTATAAAATAAAAAAGAGCCAGAGTTCCAAATTACAGACAAAACAAGCTTTTGGAATACAACTCAAGTGTAGGCTGGGTACTGGCTGTTTTGAAACAAAGGTCTTAAAGTGGTGCTTTCACCTACTTATATTGGGCTGCAGCTTCATTTCAGGATCAACCAATACCACTGCTGGTTTTCTCTGATTACATGTAATATCAACTTGCAACTGCATTTACAAAATGGCAATTCAAAATCCAGAGAAACCTGTCTTTCAGAGATACTTTAGGAAGAATGATTTGCACTAAATGGATGAGGCCTTCCTGCAACCATTAAATAACCTATCTTAACTTGGGTATTGGTACATAGTAACCTTATTTCAATCTCTTTCTGCAAATAGGAAACTGGATAAATTGCCATTTTTCAATGTTTATTTATAGAGCTGTGAACATTGACCTATTTTTCCACCTATATTAAAATAGTCCTGAAAATCTAAAAGTTCTAAAATAATAATAAAAAAGAACTTAAATCAAATACAAAACTCAGGAACTAGTTAATCACAACAAAAATTTAAAGCTGGTCAGATTTTTCCCTTCTCCTTCCAAATTAAATTTTCAAATGAGAAGTTTCCACATTGGATCAACCAAGGTTCTAAATACCAGGTACCCATTTGGGATTTGACTTTCCCTAGTCATAAATGGAACTGACTCATCACCAGTTAACTGCATACATGCCCTGTGTACGTTTGTGTGTAAAGTCTACAGGTAGGTGTACAGGGAATAAAGTAGAGCAAGCCTCATGCTGCTCTAACCACATTTTCTGCTTAGTGTCTCTTGGGACCAAGGGCACCCATTTTTAAGACAGTAGGTCTGAGATTAATCTAGTTTTGTTTTTTTTATCTCAAAGTATATGTGAGGATGGGGGATAGGGAGTCAGAAAAGAAAAAGGCAGATTCTTGGCCTTTCCGGCTACATCAGAACCTCAGAGTCAGGCCAAGATTTTGAATTTTCCCAGGTGCTCAGGATGGTCATTTTGCACATTAAAGTTCAAAATCAGCAAAAAAAAAAAAAGACAACGCAGGGACTTCGGACCCGGGACCATGAGAGCTAACAGGTCACGGACATTCTCAGGCTGTTTTTTGTTTTTTTAATACAAGAAGCATGAGAGATCAGAGTCCTGAAGGTGTTTAGAGACTGGGCAGAGCAACGAATAAGAATGAAGAGTTTGGGATTCCAACCTCTGTCGTGAGAGTGTCTGTGGCTGAGAGCAAATTACGTTACCTCCCTGGGTCTCCTTCGTCTGCACAATGAAGGGCTTCAACTCCATCACCAAGTCCTTTAAGGCTCCAGAGTCACCGAACTGAAGCCGATGCACGGCTGAAGCGCTCAGTCCCGGAGCAGCAGAGGTGGAGGGCAGCCCCACCGCCTCCCGTGCACCCACGTCGCGCAGGCTCCGGGTCGCCGTGTAAGGGCAAGAAGGCGGAGACCAGGGGGCGCCTGGGTGGCTCAGTCGGTTAAGCGACTGCCTTCGGCTCAGGTCATGATCCTGGAGTCCCGGGATCGAGTCCCGCATCGGGCTCCCTGCTCGGCAGGGAGTCTGCTTCTCCCTCTGACCCTCCTCCCTCTCATGCTCTCTATCTCATTCTCTCTCTCAAATAAATAAATAAAATCTTTAAAAAAAAAAAAAAAAAAGAAGGCGGAGACCTTGCGTCCACGGCCGCTACTCGCACCGCCCAGCCTGCCCCCCAGCTAGCGCGCCCCTCTCCCGCCGCCCCCCAGAGCGCGGACCTGGCCGCGCGGGCCCCCGGAGGGAAGCGGGCAGCATTACCCGAATGCGGCTGCAGGCCCGGCACGAGGGACCGGGTTCCCGGGCTTCAGAGCTGACAGGAGGATCCGCAGACGCCGCAAAACCGAGCTGTTTGGCGCCGCATCCATGATCACAGTGGCGCCCAGCCTCGGAGCGCGCCTGCGCCGGGATCCGCCCACTGCCCGGGAGGGCCCGGCAGCGCCGCAGGAGAACAGGCCGGCGCCTCTCGGCACCCGCTGCCCTTGGCCCGCTGGCTGAGTCTCTGGGAAACACGCATGCGCCGAGGGCCCGCGGCGCCGCGCTGCAAGGGAACATGCTTGCGCCGGGACTTCAGCCGGGAGATGGGGGCATTGGTCCCCTTCCGCCAGCCTACCGTTGTCAACGCTGAGGTGCTCGGCCGCGTAGCCCGCTGGGCTGTCTCTGACCCTTGACGGAAACGGGGCTTGGGGTCCCACGGGCACTGCAACACAGATCGTCTCCTCTCGGGGTGCCAGCGCTGGCTCACGAGGAGCACGTCCCAGTGGGCTCTGCCCCGCTCGTCGCCACGGTGACTGGTCCTTCCAAGGACTGCTCCCATCCGCCCATCTTTCAGGGAGTGGATGGTGAGGAGGGGCTCCGGAGGGATGGGTGAGAGAAGGGGGGCTTCAGGCTGGCAGCCATCGGTGAGGTGAAATGCATTTGCTTCTAAGAATGATGGGATTAAAATTTACCTTCATACCATCTCACATCCATTGGTATAGCTATTGTCAACAAACCAACCAACCAGAAAACAGTAAGTATTGGCAAGGATGTGGAGAAATTGGAACCGGTGCACCGCTGGTGGGAATGTAAAATGGTGCAGTGGCGGTGGAAAACAGCATGGTGGGTCCTTAAAAAATTACACCTAGAATTACCATAAGATCCAGCAATTCCACTTCTGGGTATATACCCTCAAGAATTGAAAACAGTGTCTCAAAGATATTTATACACCCATGATCATAGCATTATTCACAACAGCCAAAAGGTGGAAAGCAACCCAAATGTCAATGAAGGGATGAAGGTATAAATGTGTATACATGTAATAGAATATTGTTCTTTAAAAAGGATGGAAATTCTGACATACGTCATAATATGAACATTGGGACATTATACTAAGTGAATACGCCAGTCATAAAAGGACAAATACTGTGTGATTTCATGTATATGAGGAGTAGGCAAATTCAAAGAGACAAAGTAGAAAGGTGGTTTGCCAAGGGATGCCGGAAGGGGAGGATGGGGAGTTAGTGCCTAATGGGGGCAGAGTTTCAGTTTTGTAAGAAGAAAGGAGTTCTGGAGATGGAAATGGTGGTGGTAGCACGAGGATGTGAGTGTACTTAATGCCACTGAACTATCTCCTTAGAAGTTAAGATGGTAAGTTTTATTTGTATTTTATCACAATTAAAATATTTTTCTTCTTCAGATCATATAATTGCAGCTTTCTAAAGATTTCTAAAGATTATAAACATTACCTGCAATTCACAATTCAGTGGAGAAAAAACTACCGCTGTAATTCTGGCTACCACTCTGACTTAACTGGAAATAACTGGCAGATTTACGGTCACTGTTTAGCCTTGGCTCCAATTATCCAGGATAGCTGAGGCTTCCTTGCATATCACATTCTTCCTCTTCCATGAGACCCTTCTATTGTAAATAGTCCTATACACACAGTGCTCTTTAAAGTGTTACAGCCATGGAAAGTTCTGATACCTGCAGTATCCCCACTGGCCATGAGTTTCTTGAGCGATAAAGGCAAGGCGGGCCTAAAAATGGATTATGCAAAAATATTCTCTCAACATAAATGTGACATATCAATTTCCCGCATAGAAGGAAAGAGAAATACATTTCAGCTGATTACTATCATCTGACTTTCAGAAACCTTTGGTGGGTCAAGGTTTCCTTCTTTTTTCCTGAGACGTTGATTTGGGATTTCTGGTCAGAGATCATGAGAGTAAAAATAATTGTACAATTTTAGCGTGTTATCCTACCGAGCAGCAGTAACGGTTAGCACTGTGAGGCTTTAGGTTATTGGTGTCACAATTGATTTTTAAGTGCACAATTGAGAACTAGTCCTTTATGTATAACACTATTGTACAGTTTTAAAAATAACTGTGCTGGGCACCTTATGATGCATTATTTTGATCCTCACATCAACTTTATTGCCCTATTACTAGAAGAGAAAATTGAGGCTAAGAGAGGTTAGGAAGCAGGCCCTCCATACACAGCAAAGGAGTGGCAGATGAGAATTTAAGCCTGCTTGATTTCACAACCTATACTTGGATTGTTATTTGTTATGGAATTCACTGGACTAGCATTAGGCCTTCAATGATTTCTTTGTAGTCATATTTCTAAAATCTTGACCACATAGACACCTAGTGTTTTGCTTTGTTCTTTTGTTGTTGTTGTTTTCTTGACTTCAATCCTTTGCAGTGAAATTGCACATTAACCCTGCCTGATTGCAATGGGTAAAAATCATTAATCTTTCACTTCCTGCCCCTAAAACCCTAAAACCTGATGGGTTAAATTTAAAATTTAAACCGCGGTGTTGTATTAAATTCAGTTTTGGCAGTTAGTGGATTTTTTTTTTTTTTAATCCTACAACAACAGATGTGACTAAAAGAATCGATCTTGTTGACATGGTTCTTTTTTTTTTTTTTTAAAAGATTTTATTTATTCATTTGTCAGAGAGAGAGAGCACAAGCAGTGGGGCGGCAGGCAGGGGGAGAAGCAGGCTCTCCGCTGAGCAGGGAGCCAGATGCGGGACTCGATCCCAGGACTCTGGGATCATGACCTGAGCCGAAGGCAGACGCTTAACCGACTGAGCCGCCCAGGCATCCCGACATGGTTATTCTTGTATGGAGAGAAACCAATACTAAAATACTAACAATATCATCTACCATTGCACATTCTGGCAAGGAAGTTTTTACATAAAGTCAGGTTCAGCTTGTTTTCCATTGTAGTGTCACAGCCTGCTGCTGACACAAAACATTTTTATCTGCAATTGGTTAAGTCATTTATCTTAGTAACACCTAGTTTTATTCACATTATTATAAAAGAAAAACGTTTGTAAATAACACACATTAAAATGTACATCGAAATGCTATTTAAAACATTTTCTGAGAAAGAAAGAACTATTCCTGAAGACCTAACTTCATATGATGGACCCCAAACAAATACTGTAACCACAGCAAGTGGAAAACCCACTGATTTCACAAGCTGTAAGAGTTGGAAGTGGGCGTTATTTACAGTAGAAATCTTAGGGTCTTTTGCAGAACCAAGTATGACTTCTCATTTTGTAGTCCGTGCCATCTCATTTAATTGATTTTCTGCCCAATTGATTTTCTTGTATTGAAACTCTTCAGATACAAATTTGGCTCTTTTCAGTCCAGTTTTTAGAGAGTGGGGGCTGAAAGAAAGACTTCTGAACCATGTTTGAAGGACAGCGGGGCTGCAGGCTCTCAAGGCAGCACATTTTTATCCTGAGAGCCAAAAAGCTGTCCAGAAGCTTCTCTTCTTTTTACTCTCAGCTTCCTCTTGGCTGCTAATAGCAGGAGGGTGAAAGGGAGAGTACGTATAGGAAATGCCAACCTAAGTGGAGAAGCCCAAATGGTTTCATTTATACAAACACATCATTTCAGTTGCTTATATTTGAGGTACAAAATTTTTTTTTTAAAAGTCCGTTAAAAATACCATTTTTGCCTCTTAACATTGATCATCCAATTGCTTTGGAATTTAGAGAATTTAAACACTTAGGATAGAGGTACAAGGGATACATTTAGAAAAGCAATCATCCACCCACTCCTCTCTACCAAAGCCTGGGACTCTTTCTCCATCCAATTTTTCTTTCGGTCTGTGTGATCTAATGCTATGTGGCAACTAAGTAGTGAGCCTAGATATGTGTGGGTAAGAGACTGAGGTTCATTACTTTGTAGCAGGGCTCTTCTCAACGGGGGCACCTGTGTCCTTCCAGGGAACATTTGGCAATGTCTCGAGACATTTGGCTTGTCCCAACTGGGGACAGGAGGAGGGGAGAATGGCACTATTCACATCTAGTGGGTAGAGGATACTTTCAGATAGCCAGATCCTACAATGCTCGGGACAGCCCCCACAACAAAGAATTATCTGGCCCAAGATGCCAATACTGCAGAAGTTGAGAAATTCTGTTTTACAGTCCCACTTCAGGTGTTGGGGTGTGTGTGTGTGTGTGTGTCAGCTGGGGCTAGCGGGATTTTAGAATCACCAACCACAATACTGTTATCAGCCCACCAGACCCTAGAATCTGTTCTGACATCCACAGTCGCCATACTGCATCCTTCTCTCCCTCCTTCCTGGAAGGGCTGAGCACAATGACACACCCTCTCTGTTTAGCCACATGCAGGCAGTGATACTGGATGGGCTGCTTGCCTTCAGTCTTCTAGTCTTCTGGTTCCTTTCACTCATTCCTGAGTTTCGGGTGGGCTTTGAAAGGTCCAGTGTTAGAGGCACAATTAGAAGACTTTGAAGTATCCTTTTTTTACATCACAGCAGCTCACAGAAAAAAATGAAAATATTTCTACAGTATCCTGGGGTAAGCTGAGGAAGCTGCTCAACAGTGATCAGCCCTGAAGCTCCAGTCACAGCCAGGTGTGAAGAGATCAATATTCCCTGCAGCCTCTGCAGGGCACAGAGGTTGGGAAAGTACATAAAGTATCAGAATGCTAGGAAGGAACTTAAAAACTCCATCAAGAATTGATGTAGTCACCACAATAAGTAGTAATTCCTTGCAACAACCACCTGGAAAATTCTGATATTTTTGTTCTCTTTTTTTTTTTCTGTTTTAGTACTCCTTAAAATCCCTCCAGTTAATTTATGGAGTGGAGACTGCATGTAATTCTTGAAGCCTGTGGTGACGGACACAACATTTGATACTGAAGTTAACAGACCTTAGAGTTTTGGAATGAACTGTGGTTAGAATACCAAAAAAAAAACTAGTTGAAGAGAACTCACAATTTCACTGTACTTTGGTGATAACAGGAGCCTATGTGGAGAAGAGAGCATAAAATAAGAAAGCTGAATTTTTTTTTCTCTTGCTGAAACAAAACTCCAGGAAATGAAATGAATGTCATTGCGGAAGGTTACGGAATGAACTGAAAGAAAATTATCTTCCTCAAGTATCTCTCCCTTTCAAAACCCAGTTAGGCTTCTTTTTGGAGTGGGTCTCAGCCATTAATAGGTCTTCCTGGTTCGTAGGTTGTTCGCTGTAGATTTCTTTCCCATGCTCCAGCTATGGAATGCGGGAGATTTTTATGCAGAGAACCTGTATCAGTGAGGAGAGAATTCTGAAGGATCCGAGGGAGCACACTTCCAGCGGGTTACTTACTAGGTGAGGAGATTACCTCATGCTGCCAAAGCCCCTTCTGGAGTTAGCTCTGGCTGATATGTACCAAATCGTTCAGGAGGTCTATTCTTGAACACTGGTAGAGCGCATAGGCCAGCTTTCCCACCGTGGCCCCCTTATTGCCTTCCCTCATCAGCCACTTTTGGAGCATCTGGTAAACCTTTTCTTTTAGTCCATCGCGCTCATAGTCATGGTCAATTTCCTCAATCTGAGGTTCAGTGAAGCCCAGCTTACGGGCACAGTTTTTCCATTGCTTCCCCAGATTTTCCCTGACTGGGTTCAGATGTTTATCAGTCAGACTAGTGATATTTTCTGCCAAACAGAAAAGAGAAGAAGGCATCAGGCTATAACCCATTTGAACATTCTAGTTTCAAAAACCTGTATAAAGAGTATCAGGAGACAATAAAAAAGATAACTTATTAATTATAGAGTTGCTGACCCATGAGGTGATACTTTACATGTCTGGAAGCCCATTTGGAATGTTTATGTGAGTACAATAGAGAACCTCTTCCTCTTAGCAGATACCTCTCCCAGCTACAGCTGATGGCATTGGGAATAAAAGCCCTGCTTGGCTACTAGGCTGTTCTATACAACCTTAGCCAGTGGCCCTGTTAATATCAGGCCTTCCTGATGTAAAGAGGGAAGAAAACACCATTTTTGTTCCTTTTGGCATTGTCTACTTATATCTGGCCAGAATCAAGGTCATTCAATTCCTGATCCCCTGCCCCCTACAGTTCACATTCCTCTTACTTAGGGAAACCAAGACCATCAAGTGCAAACTTTTCAATTACAGTGCCTTCCCTTATCTTTTAAGGAATGAGGTATCTACTTTTCAAGGTCTGTTTGGGACTCCTCTCTCCTTTACCCTAAGTGTTATCTTCTCCTACAGCCACAGCCTCCCTTTCTACTGGTTCCTTCCTCTTAGGCCTTCATAAAAATAACAAAAAGAAACTAAAGTATAAAATCACCACCACACACATTTTCCTTGATCCTCATCCCAGCCCAATAAGCTGAATATAAGGAAAAAGACATCTCATTCCCCATGCCCATTCTTTCCTTAGCATCCCCCCTCGCCCCGCAACTCCCATTCTTTCCTTAGCTCCCCACAATGCATTTCTGTCATCACCACTGGATGTCAGCAGTCCAAAAACGTCCCAAATTTTGTCAACACCTCTCCGGGAGAGGGACCCTGGGCTTCATCAGATTCTCAAGGGTACCTGTGTCACCCCAAGAGTTAGGAACCTCCTCTCTAAGGACTATTCTTCAAATGGATTAGGCCAGGGATTGGCAAACTATGGCCTCTGGGCCAAATCTGGCCTGCTGCCTGTTTTTGTAAAAAAAGTTTTACTGGAACACAGCCACGTACATATGTACATATTGTCCGTGGCTGCTGTTGCATTGCAATGTCAGGTGAGTAGTTGCAACAGAGACCTCAGGGCCAGTGAAACCTAAAACATTTACTCTCTGGCACTTGACAGAAACATTTTGCCAGCCCTGGGGTTAATCATAAAGCTGCGTTCTTAAATCCCATTGTTTTGGCCTCATGCCTGTTTCCCAGGTTGTGTTTTGGGATTAATGTTATGAGCCTGCAGAGTGGAACCCTGTAAGAGAAAGCTCTCTTGTTTTTATAACAGAGGTGCTGTTGAGGGCATAGTCTTCTATCTTTTCAGAATCCCTTTTGATGAAGACCTGAGGGACCTACCTCTCTTAGGTCTGAGTAGTGATATTGATCATGATGATGATGATGATGTGTTCAACACTTTCATAGATCTTACTATGTGTTAGGCAGTGTTCTAAGCTCTTTATACATATTGACTCATTTAATTTTCATAACAAATCTGTGAATTAGATATTGTAATTATCCCCATATTAAACATAAATAAACCACAAAAAAATTATACGGAAATTACAGAGACATTTTACAGAGAAAACATGGGGCAACTTTCAGGGAAAATAATTGGAAAAATTTCAGGATTCCACTCTATCCCTCTAAACAAGTAAGAAAGTTTCAGGTTGCTAGATGACAGGTCTTTAAAGGGCATCTTACCAAAGATATCTTGGTACTTAGAAGCTGGCTCTTTCAAGTTCATGTCTGGTAGCACTGAACTCATTCCACTAATCTCCATATAATTTTGGTCTCCAACCTGAATGCCAGCACTGTTGTATATGGTACATTTTGCAGACTCATCTGAATAGAGTGAAACACACAGGTAAGTATATCTAGACTGAAAGCAAAAGAAATAAATACAACATGGTAAAAGGGCAGAGCTTTACTCCAGATGTATAATTTAAATTATTTATCCTATGCCAACCTTTGAAATTTTCTTCTTTAAAATGTAACTGAACCAACCTCACATCCATCACGATGACTACTATAAAAACAAAAACAAAAACAAAACAACAACAGAAATAACACGTGTTGGCAAGGATGTGAATGAACTGGAACCCCTGTGTGCTGCTGGTGGGAATACAAAATGGTGTGGTAAACAGTATGGAGGTTCCTCAAAAAAATTAAAAATAGAATTACCCTAAGATCCAGCAATTCCACTTCTGGGTATATACCCAAAGGAATGAAAGCAGGGCCTCAAACAAAGATTTATACACCCCAGTCTATAGCAGCATTATTCACAACAGCCCAAAAGTGGAAGCCACCCAATGTCCATCAACAGAGGAACAGATAAGCAAAATGTGTTATATACTGACAATAGAATATTTTCAGCCTTAAAAAGGAAGGAAATCCTGATACATGCTACAACATGGATGAACCTTTAGGACACTGTGCTCAGTGAAATAAGCCAGTCACAAGAGGACAAAGATTGTATGATTCCACTTCTATGAAGTACCCTAGAGTAGTCAAATTCATAAAGACGCAAAGTAGAATGGTGGCTGCCGGGATGGGAGGTGGACTGGGGAATTAGTGTCTGATGAGTACAGAATTTCAGTTTGGGAAGATGAAAAGAGCTCTGGAGATAAATGGTGGTGATGGTAGCCCAATATTTTGGTTTCATCACAAATGGCAGTCTTTGGCCTATATAAGAATCAAAATATCCAAGACTTCTTTCTTAACCTTCAGAAAACAGCAAGCAAGTAAAAGAACACAAGCAGTGACCTTCACTTCCATCACAGATTGGGTACAATGGGACCACTGTGATGCAGATTAGAGCAGACAATGCCTACCAATTACAAGGAAGGACCTGTAATCCAACACTTGCAGGCAGCTGCAATGAATCCCACCTGAACTGAGGCCAAGTGGTCTGATGGAGATTATTCCACGGTTGCAAATTGCATCTGGCGGCTGAACACCACAAGCAACTCACCCTTGTTACCTTAGAGTCTACAACAGAGCTAATGGCTGCTTTATTTTCAGAAACATTTAAAAAAAAAATTGTAGCTAAAAAAACTGTTTACCTCTTGATAGGACGGAGATGAATGGAAGGGTGGGTGTATTTCCCAGTAGGTTGGTCTCAGGCACTGGAGTTTTATGCACGCTTGGCATATGGCTTGGATTTGGCCCATACCAAACTCTTGAACCTGCTGTTCCCAGATCCTGTGGTCTTGTTCCAAAAGGGAATGGATTGTACAGTCCATTGTTCCAGTATAGTACTTGGGGTTGGCTGGTTAGCCCTGTGGGTTGGTGTAGTGCATTACCAGGACTGGTTGCACTAGAATAAGGAAGGCCTTTTACTCCTGGGTTCTGAACATTCTCGTAAGGTCTCTGCTGTGCAAAAGGGTCATGGGAGACCCTTCGTCTCCTTTCCTCCTCTCTATTATAAGCCACATTCTGTCTGAGCGGTTTTGTCTGCCTGTCCATGCGGCTGCCAAAAAGATGGTAGTTGGCTTCCTCCTGGAGTTTACTCTGCAAGCTGAGCTGATTCTCCTCCTGCTGGTTCTCTAGGGAGGGACCAAACCAGGACTCCTCCACGGGACCTATCCCAAGTCCCTGGGAACTGTGCAGCGAGCTGGGCTGTTCTGGGGCTGAGAAGAAATGATCAACATTGGAAAGAGTTTCAAAAAGCAACAAGAAGTAAAATAAAAGCTGAGCACCATCATACATCTGTATCTCAGAATAACATACTGAAACCTTTGCGAACAAATAAAAAAGCATTTACTTGATGGTCCTCTTCCTACCTATATTACCTATATAGGTAATTCGTAGAAGTACCTGCATGGTGGTGAGAGAGCACTAGGGAAATTTTAACAGGCAACAGAAATGTGAGTGTCACAGGAATGAGCAAGGAAGAGAGGGACTTGTGTTGTAGCAGAGAAGGTGGCTGTCTCCTTGATGGGATGCAGGGCTACAAAATAAGAACAGGAGCAGCTTGGTGTTAAGCACTTTCCATGGATTCTTTTATTCTTTAAAAGCCCTGTAGGAGTAGGAGCAATTATTATCATGACTTGATGGATGACGTTTACAAGAGGTTAATTTGTCCTAAGACAGATAGCTAATAAAGTGGTTTCAATATCCTATACTCTGTTTTTCCTTTAGTATCCCTCCTTGAATCTGAGATCAACCTCTCTGCTTGTTCTCTGAATCTGTCATCCCTGACCTCAAGGACCTTGCTTCCACACACATCCCCTCTTGTTCCTGAGCCGTCACTTTCTTCCTATCAGATATGTTAGGCCTCTTATGTTCAGGATGCTTTGTGATTTTGGTGAATACACTGCTATTTACTCTTTCAAATATATGTATCTTCACTCCCAAATATATTATAAATTTCTTTAAATATTTTATAGCTTCTTCTGTTTCTTTACGGTCATGAAAAGTATTTTTGAGAATAGAGTGAATGCATGAACAAACAAGTGAATACATTACTTTCAGTCATCGGATGTTACCTGAATTTGACCTGCTTGGAGGTATTGCTGTACAGTCAATCTGGAGAGAATGCATTCTCTTCACAATTAAATTTTGGGCTGGGTCTGGATACTCTTTCTGTAATTAACAGCATAAATGTACACCTTAGTAAGCAGTAGAAAATAGTTCCAGAAAATTATTATAAGAAAAACAAATCTTTTCAAATGGTAGAGATTTCCTGTAGCTCTTACAAGGAATAAATCTTTTTTTAAAAATAAACTTTTTTCCCAAATAGCCAAAACAACCTTAAAAAAGAAGAACCAATTTGGAGGGTTCACACTTCCTGATTTCAAAACTTACTACAAAACTACAATAATCAAAACTGTGTGGTAATGGTCAAAGGACAGGCAGAGACCAATGGAAGATAATAAGAGAACCCAGAAATAAACCCTTGCATGGCTAACTGATTTTCAACAAGGGTGCCAAGACCATGCAATGGGGGAACACAGGATATCCACACCTAAAAGAATGAAGCTGGACCCTTACCATTAATATATACAAAAATTAATTCACATGGACCAAAGCTTAAGCGCTTAAACCACATAAACATTAGAAGAAAACATAGGGGGAAAGATTCATGACATTTGATTTGACAATAATTTCTCAAATAGGACACCAGTAACATAGGCAATAAAATAAAAATAAATAAACTGGACAACATCAAAATTAAAGCCTCTGTGCATCAAAGGACACCATCAAGAGAGTGAAATGGAATAGGAAGAAAAATATTTGCAAATCATATATCTCTGATAAGGGATGAATATCCAGATTATATAAAGAATTCATACAATTCAACAGTAAAACAACTCAATTCAAAAATGACCAAAGGGCTTGAATAAACATTTCTCTAAAGAAGATCTACAAATGGCACATGAAAAGGTGCTCAACATCATTAGTCATTAAGAAAATATCCATTAAAACCACCATGTAAGATATATATGACTTCACACTCATTAGAATGGCTATTATTTAAAAAACAAAACAAAACCCAGAGCATGAAAAGTGTTGGTGAGAATGTAGAGAAATTGGAACCTTGTGCATTGTAGGTGGAAATGTAAAATGGTAAGGCCATTATAGAAAACAATTTGATGGTTCCCCAGAAGTTAAACATAGTATTATCATACAACGTAGCAATTCCACTCTTATGTATATACCCAAAAGAATTGAAGAGCTCAAAAAAAAAAAAAAAAAAAATCATACACCAATGTTCATAGCAGCCTTATTCACAGATAAAAGGTGGAAACAATTCAGTATCCATCACAGCTGAATCAATAATCAAACTGTGATAGACACATAAAATGGAGAATTATTCAGCCTCAAAAAGGAGTGAAGCTCTAACACATGCTACAACATGGATGAACCTTGAAAACATTACCCTTAGTGAAACAGGGTAGACACAAGAAGACAAATACTGTCTGATCCCCACATCTGTAAGGTACCTAGAAGAGGCAAATTCATAGACAGAAACTGGAATTAAATGTTAGCAGGGGCTGGGGAAAGGGAGGAATGAGGGGCTCTTATTTAATGGATACTGAGTTTCTGTTTGGGATTTTTAAAAATGGAAATGGATACTAGCTACGTTTGTACAACATTGTGAGTGTACTTAATGCTACTGAATTGTACACTTAAAAATGGGTACAATGGTGGGGCACGTGGGTGGTGCAGTCCTTTAAGGGACTGACTTTTGGTTTCTGCTCAGGTCGTGATCTCCAGGTCATGATATAGATAGAGCCCTGCGTCAGCCTCTGCGATCAGCACCCAGTCGCCTTAAGACTCTCTTTCACACTCCCTCTGCCCTCCTCCCATCCATGTGCGATTGCGCTCACTCTCTAAAATAAATAAATAAATCTTTAAAAAAGAAAAGAAAAAATGGGTAAGATGGTAAATTTTATGTTATGTATATTTTACCAAAATAAAAAAAAAAGAAAAAGAAACTCTTTTTTGCTATAAAAGTGATACTACTCATTATTGAAAATATAGAAAATGTACAGAATTATATTTAAAAAGAAACCTACACGTACTGCCTCCACTTCAAGCACAAAATTAACATTTTGGTATTTCCTTTAAGTTTTTTTCTTAGTCATATTTGCATTTTGTTTTAATATGTAGTGTTTTTGTTAGTCTTCAGTTTTAAGTTTTTCTAAGTTCCATTGTGATTTCCCTTTTTGATCCACAGGTATTTAAAAATATACTTCTTAACTCCTAACCACATGAGATTTTCTAATTTTAAGATTAATTTGTAGCATAACTGAAATAAAATCAGAGAAAATTCTTTATATGATTACAATCCTTTTAAATTGGTTGATAATTGTTTTATTTCCCAGGGCATGGTCAATTTTAAAGTGTGTTCTGTATGTTCTTGGAAAAGCCTTTAAAGGTAAGTATTCTGCAGTTATTAAATGCAGTGTTTTATTTCTTTCCATTCAGTCAAATGTTAATCATGTTCTTCAAATTTTCTATATCCTTACTGATTTTTTTTTTTGTCCAGTTGTTCTATCAGTGAGAAATCTATATTAAAATCTCCAATTTGTCTATTTCTCCTTTGAGTTTTGTCAAGTTTTGCTTTGTATGTATTGAGGCCATGTTATTTAGGGCATATACATATTTAAAGCTGTTATTATCTTCCTGGTGAATTGAACTTTTTATCATTATGAAATATTCCTGATTATTGTGGTAATGCTTTTTTAGCCTTAGTAACTATCCTTCCTGATGGCCTTTGGATGCCCAAGAACGGTTTCCACTGGATACCTCTCCTTTTAGAGTGTAGGTATCCCTCAAAAGTCTGGTAATTCTTGACTCTCTGGTTTTTTATCTTTATTTTAAAATCTCCATATGCCTTCCTGTTTTATTTACTGTAGTCTTCCCCTCATGTTGCTATAAGACTTAGGCCAGCAACTTGCTTTCTAAGTGTGTATGTAGGGAAGGTCTTTGTTTCTCTTGGTTACTTAGCTGGTATCAACCTTTGACATACCTCTTAGACCCCAGACACCAACTTCACTGCTTCAAGTTGAGGCAGATGCTGCTCTCATCTGTTGCTTAGTGCAAGGGAATCAGGGGGAGGAGCCAACTTTTGTAACTGGCACAACCATGGTTCCCGAATGACAATCTTATCATCAATGTCCCAGGTGACCATTCTGTTTCTTGTACACACGGACCCAAGGCTTGCTCCACCAGTTCTTCTTCAGCATTATGTTTTGGGTTAGCATTTTCTTCTTCTGTTCTATGACTTAGCAAATATAATTCTGTTGGCTTTCTATCTTTCAAGAATTCTTCAAAACGACTGATCCACCTACGGTACTTTCCATTCTATTCCAGTGACATTGTGCTTTTGTTTTCATATTGCTATATATAATTTTTCTCATTTCATTAGTTTTGATGGAGGAATGGGTCCAGTATGCCAACTTGATGATATCTGTATAAAACTGCTAATTTTCTTCAAGTGGTTATCAAGCTTGCTTACCTCAAATTATATTGCCTTGGTTTTCAAGATTGATAATATATATGTTTTGATATGTTATGCTTTGAGTACCTGCTAGGTTACCTACCTTTAAACTTGTCACATCGTCTTCTACATTTTCTTCTAATTGAACTACATAAAAGGGCCTAAATTTTTCTTCAATGCCTGTATAAAAAAAATAATACTTTAAATTTTCTAAAGTAAAGTATTTTCTAAAGTAAAATTTAAATATTAGCAATCTATTATTTTTGAATTACTTACCTTAATCTGTGGACAAAGCAGTAAAATAAAAATTTTAATGCCAAATCACTGACTTACATGTAGAGACTAGTAAGACCAATAAGTAGGTGGACAGAAGGAGGGACAAGATAACACTGAAAACCAAGGGCTACTGCCTAATAGCATGTTTCTCTGGCTGCAGCACAGAGCCCTATCTAGTATGAATTACTCTCCAAGTGAACAGGGATGGATGGACTCCTTGTTTCTATGTCTCTGGGATCAGAATTATTATAGGACAGAATACTCAGAATAAGGATTTGATATGAGTCAAGAGGTGCTAGCTTTAAAAGAAAAAGGCAACTTCCACTTTCAGGAAGATAGAGTAGACATACTTTTCCTCATTTCTCCCTCTAAGCACAAGAACTGCTAGATATCACATATAAAACAAACATGAAAAGAGTCTGAAAGGAGGAAAGAAAAGGCAGACCAACTACAGAGTTTGGGATCTGAGGAAAGTCATGGCGATGAGTTCACTAGGATTTCTTTTTGCCTTTTAGATCTCAGACTTAGCCTTAAGGAAGCTGGCAACCCACCCCCCCACCAAAAAAAAAAAGCCTAACAAAAGCCTCTTCTAGCCAAAGGACTAAGCAAGGGGCAGCCTAGCAAGACAAAAGACCTTTATTCAATAACCATTCTCCAGCCAAACATCACAGAATACACTGTGGCTCCACTCGCAACCTCACCAGCAAAGGCCAAGTAAGAAGAGCTAAGACTTCCAACCTCATGAAACAGTAACAGGGTACTCCAACATTCCCACCAGAGTGATCTCAGAGAAGGCCAAATAAGGAGCCAGGTCTTTCCTTCCTGCCAGATGGTAATCAATGGACTATGAGGGTAAACTGGACTTGCACCCTTATTTTGCAGTAATAAGGTGCTCCCACCCATTCCAGTGGAGAAGTATCAGGAGAGGCCCCAGTGGGAGTCAGAACTTTCACCTCCACTGCAGTGTCCATGGAGACCAGGTGCACTCCACTGGAACTTCCATCCTGACCAGTACAAACAAGGAGCCCCCCCCCTGGCCCCCCACCACCCCGCCTCAGGTGTCAACAGGGCTCAGTAGAAAACCTGGACGTCCCTCTACCTGTCAAACAAGGTGGCAGCCACCCTTCCACTGGCAAAGCCATGTCAGAAAAGGCTAGCTAATAGAGAAGGCTTGAAGAAGATCCAGAATCTCCTAACACTATAAGAAAATGTACAAGTTTCAAGAGAAAAAAATAACTCATCACACTAAGAACCAGGAATATCTAAAACTGGAGAAAAAAAGATAATCAATAGATGTCAACACCAAGATACCAGAGATAGTAGAATTCACTGTTTAAAGGTTTAAACAGCCATGATACAAATGCTTCAACAAGCAATTACAAATAAGCTTAAAACAAATGAAAAAACAGGGATGCCTGGGTGGCTCAGTTGGTTAAGCCATTGCCTTTGCTTGGGTCATGACCCCAGGACCCTGGGATCGAGTCCCACATCAGGCTCCCTGCACAGCCTGCTTCTCCCTCTGCCTGCCACTCCCCCTGCTTGTGCTCTCTTGCACACTCTCACTCTCTCTCCATCAAATAAATAAATAATCTTAAAAAAAATAAAGATAAAAAAACAGGAAGCCTCAACAAAGAAACAAGATATAAAAGAAAGTTCAATGAAATTTTTGAATTAAAAAATATAGTAAACCAAAATGGATGAGTTCAACAGCAGAATAAAGGGGACAGAGGAAAATCAGTAAGCTGAAAGACAGAATGATAGACATAACCCAATTTGATCAAGAGAAAGAAAATAAACTGAGAAAAAAAAAGTGTACAGAGCCTCAGGGACAAGTGAAACTATAACAAAAGATCTAGTATTTTTGTTATCCCTACCTCAGAAAGGAAAAAGAGAGCATGGCTGAAAAAAGTACTCTACGAGATAATGGCTGAAAGCTTCTCAAATTTGGGAAGGGACATATATCTACAGATTCAAAAATCAAAAGAAAACCCAAACAGAATAAACCCAAACAAATTCATACCATGACAATAATTAAACCTCTGAAAGATAAAGTTGTGAAAGCAGCCAGAGAAAATGCCTTACCTATAGGTTTAAAAAAAAGGATTTCTTAACTAAAACCATGGAGGCCAGAGTAAGTTGCATGGTATTTATTAAATCCTGAAAGAAAGGAATTGTCAACCCAGAATCCTACACCCAGCAAAAATATCCTACAGAAATGAAGGTAAGACCAAGACATTCTCAAATGAAAAAAAACTGATAATTTGTCCCTAGCAGACAACAACCTAAAAGAATGGCTAAAGGAACTTCCTAAACAAGAAGGAAATGATAAAAGAAGATACCCCAGGGCGCCTGGGTGACTCAGTTGGTTAAGCGACTGCCTTTGGCTCCGGTTTTGGTCCCGGAGTCCTGGGATCGAGTCCCACATCAGGCTCCTGGCTCAGCGGGGAGCCTGCTTCTCCCTCTGACCCTCTCCCCTCTCATGCTGTTTCTCTCTCTCTCAAATAAATAAATAAATAAATAAATAAATAAATAAATAAATAAATAAAAATCTTAAAAAAAAAAAAAAGAAGATACCCTGGAACATCAGGGAGGAAGAAAGAACACATGTGGTATAATTAAAAAATATTTATTCTTTTTCCCAGCTTCAGCTGGTTCATGGCATGGAGCTCCCCAAATCCCTGGGATCTCCTGAGCAGTAAGAATGTCTTTTCTATGTTAATGAGATGGCTCCTGGCTACAGGGATGAGGACAAGAAGCTAGATAGCTTCAGGATTGGAGCTGGTCACCAGAAGGACCTAGTTATGATTACAAGGCTGGCGCTTTCAGTACCAGCTGAGGGGAGAGGGACTAGAGATTTAGTTCAGTCACCAATGACCAGTGATTTAATCAATACTGCCTACTTAATGAAGCCTCCATGAAAACCCCTACACAATGGGGTTTGGAGAGCTTCCAGTAGTGAATACATTGAGTGAGTACATTGTTGGGAAAGTGGCATGAGAGCTCTGTGGCACACCACTCCCACCACCAATAACTTAATGAATCTCTTCCTTTGGCTGTTCCTGAGTTGTACTCCAGTAAATGTAAGTAAAATGTTTTCCTGAGTTCTATGAGTTCTAGTGAATTATTGAACCTTAAGGGGGTATTATGAGGACCTTCAAATTTGTATTTGGTGGAGTAGAAGTGTGGGTAGCCTTGGCATCCTATCTGCATCTGGGTCTAAAGTGGCGACAATCTTACAGCAGGCCTAAGCCCTTAAATCTGTGGAATCTGACAATAACTCCAGTTGGTTAGTGTCAGAATTTAATTGAATTCTAGAACACCTAGTTGTGACACATTTAGTGTCAGAAGTAATACTACAAAAAACACCCCACAACACAGAAATCAAAAATATGGGTAAATACAATAGGCTCTCTTTCTCTTTTTGAGTTTTCTAAACTATCACTGACAGTTGAAGCAAAACTGTAACAATGTCAATGTATTCTAAATATATGTAGAGGAACTATTTAAGGCAATTATATACAAAGGAAGGTAAAGGGAAGTAAAGGAAGTAAAGTTTTTATACTCCACTCAAACTGGTAAAATAATATAAGTATACTGTGATAAATTATGTACAGATAATGTAACACCTAGAGTATCCATTGGAAAAACTATCCTCAAATATATTATCCATAAATTCAGGGGAGCCTGGGTGACTCAGTCAGTTAAGTGTCCAACTCTTGATTTCAGCTCAGGTCATGATCTCAGGGTTGTAAGATGGAGCCCCACATTGGGCTCTGCACTGGGGCATGGAGCCTGCTTAAGATTCTCTCCCTCTGCCCCTCCCCAGCTCATGTGTGCATGTGCTCTCTTTAAAAGAAAGAAAAGAAAAGAAAAGAAAGAAAAAAATACTATTGATAAATTAAAATGGGATTCTAAATATGTTCAAGAATGCATAGGAAGGCAGCAAAAAGAAAATGGAGACATGAAAAACAGAAAGAACAAAAAACAAAATAAAATGGGAAATGTAAGCTCTAACATCAAAATTACACTAAATTAATATGGTCTAAAAACACCAATCAAAAGACAGGTATTGGCAGAATAGATTAAGGAAACATGACCCAAGTATATGCTGTCACAAGAAACTCACTTCACATATAATGATTATAGGCAATTTAAAGTAAAAAGACGGGGAAAGATATATCATATAAACATGAGTAAGAGAAAAGAAAGGTGGCCATATTAATATCCAATAAAGTAGACTTCACAGCAAAGATGATTGCTGGAGGTCACCTGGGTGGCTCAGTCATTAAGCATCTGCCTTCGGCTCAGGTGATGGTCCCAGGGTCCTGGGATTGAGTCCCACATCAGGCTCCCTGCTCAGTGGGAAGCCTGCTTCTCCCTCTCCCACTCCCCCTGCTTGTGTTCCCTCTCTTGCTGTGTCTCTCTCACTGTCAAATAAATAAAATCTTTAAAAAAAAAAAAAGATGATTGCTGGAGACAAAAAGGGACATTTATATAATGATAAAAGGATCAATCCATCAAGACATAGCAATCCTAAATATATATACACCAAACAACAGAGATGGAAAATCTATAAAGCAAAAGACGATAAAACTAAGAGCAGAAATAGACAAATTCTCAATTATAATTGTAGACTTGAACATCTCTTTCTCAACAATTCAAAGAACTAGACAGAAAATCAGCCAAGGCATAGAAGAACTCAACAACAGCATCAACAGGATCTAATCAAGATTTACAGCACACTCTACCCAAAGACAGCAGAATAATCCATTCCTTTCAAGTGTCCACAGAACATATCCCATGATACACCATATCCTGGGCCATAAAATAAACTTCAATAAATTTGACAGAAGTTAAACACACAGAATGTGTTCTCTGACTAAAATGAAATCAAACCAGACATC